TTAACCTTCAAAGCAAGCAAAGCGGGCACCCTGGGAGTTATAGCTAGCAACTGCTTCAACAGAATAACTGCCAGCAACCGCCTAACTGCCCAGCGGTTGGAACTACCTAACAACTACTTGCAACCGTCTCTTTACACCTGTTATAAATAGGGCAAGATATCTTTATGTAAAAGGATAGAATTTTTTTTGATTTCTGCATACTTTTAGCATTCGTCGTCTTTCTGTTTCAGAGAGCTCCAACCCTGTAAGGGAGTTCTCCACGGGAATGGCCAAGAGAGTAGGGGTCTTCCCTCTCCCTTGGTCACGTCGTTACTGTTTTCTTAGATTAGATTACTGCTTTCATTTACAGCTTTGTAGTTCTAATCTTTCACGCTTTCATAGTATATAAAGAAATATCATTCATTTCTTCAAACTAATTTCTTTCACACTTTTTCACACTTATATAAATCAAGTTTAGAGAATTTCATTTCACTGGTATAAAGCGAGAGAAGAATTAATTATCTAAGCCTTGTTATGCGCCAAAAGCGGTCTCAAGGTAGTTCAATGCAGTTAAGTACGCGGGAGCCTTGTCGACCTGCTTAACTGCTGTGCTAAATTCGATTTTGATTAAATAGTAGTAACATCAGGGGGTAAAGCCACTAATGAGGCAGAAATTGGGAAAATTAACGGGTCTATTAGGTCGCAGAAATTCTTAGTGACAGTAGGGTTTCTTTATTATAATGGCTTAAAATTCTGGATGTCATGGAAGTCTTGTTGTAAATCCCCCAGGCCAAAATACCAGTGTGATGAGTTCTTTACAAATTAGTTTATATAATTACAACACCTTTCTCCCATCATTTCCATAATATACATATACTCTTCCGATAACACACTTACATCATTCGCTCACTACATCCAGGAAAATCTATCACAGATCAGACACAACACCTCTCTTTCACTCTAATTCGCTCATATACATATATATATATATATATAATGTGCCGCTCACTCATGCCCCGATCCTCTGGTAACCGCGATTCATCCATGCCCAGATCATCTGGTCCCTACTTCCGCTCATGTCCCGATCATTTGGTTACCACTGAGGCTCCACCTCTCGCTTTCGCTTCGCTCGTTTCCGCTCACCTCACCTTTATTGCTTTATTTACCGCTTTCAGTAGTTAAAATTCGGACCCGCTGCAAGCGGATCCTTTCTTGTATTCTTCGTCGCTTTCTTTAAGATTTTCACCGTTGAATTTCATGACTTAAAATCATTGTGTTCGACCTGAAACTCACCATTAAAAAGAGTATAAATAATTGTGATAACTACTCAGGGTCTACAACCACACAATTGCTATATCTGATCATTTTCCTATAGAATCCTACTCATTAATTTTCGAATAAAATTCCCTGTGAATTTGTATGCAAATTGCAATAACAAATTTTGGTTATCGAAGGGTTTGCACGGAAAATGAAATATAGAAGGGAACAGACTTACCAAATTGTTTCCTCAAATATTTTGGCATCCCGCTGGTATCTACTGGCAGAGATGCCAAATATTCCTCGATGACCTGTCTGTCAATGGTAGGGGTGACCTTTTGCTTTTGCTTCTTTGTCCCAAACCCGCCTATAGCAGGCGCCTGCCTTTTTCTTCTCGGGGCAGCGGCCAATCGAGGAGAGCCAAGCGCTAAGACTGGGGGCAGGGCAAGTTTCCCAACCAATTGGTCGGTCGAGGGAGCAATCAAAGACCAGGTGGCCAACCACCAAGCAGGAAATGTTTTGGTCGCTGAAGGTTTTAGGCAGAAAGGTAAGTATGAGTTGAAGGTGATGTAGTCAGTGAGATAAGAAACATAGGTCGGGATAAGCTCGGGAATCACTAGCCCTTATGGGCTTTGAGATATAAGGTGAGGTCGGGCCAGTGGTCCCGGTATGTCCTGACAGCAACCGAATTGTCGGGCCAAAAATTGGGATTGGTAATTGTAAGTGTAAAATAATCTGCGGTTTTTCTTGTCCGACCTCTTACTTGAAAATAGAGATCGGGGTTTCATGGCAACGTCCCGAAAGAAAGAATAGGTAGGATGAAGAAGAGGATCAGGATGAGTTTAGGAATGAGGTGCGTCGGGATGAAGTAAAAGAAGATCAGTTGAATATTGTATAAGAGTTTCGTAGACATAGAAGCGGGAATTGCTACGATCCTCAGTCAGAATTTGGGCGATGACAGGGTCGGATGGATATAGATAAGAGGAATTAGGGGTTAATCTGGCTAAGGCATAACCAATGGACCTGTATGGGTTTGGAGCGATAGGAAGTCGGCCAAAGAACGCAGTGGGGAAGTACAGACGGAGCCACAATTCCAAGAACCAGAATGGTCCCGAAGCTGCAGTGTCTGCTTTCTTGGTATCGGTTAGACGGGTGCTCACTCGGGTTAAACCCTCAAAGAGGTTAGCCAAAAAAAGGGTTCCCAACGGAAAAAATTGGCCGCAAGCCAATTGAATAGCCAGATCGACTTGAGTAGAGAGAACGAGCTTAGAAGGGGAAAGAATGATATATCTGTAAAGAAAAGAAAAAGGAGATTAAACCAAAACATTCAACTTCGAAATTACGAAAGAAGATTTCAAAAGGAAAAGATGTACCTGCAGAGCCAGAAAAGAAGAAAGGCTGTGTATTCCAGTTCAGAAACAGAGGTGTCTTCCTTTCCCTGGTATTTGTTAACAAAATTAGTCCAACCTCTCTCTTTTTCAGGAAGTTTGGCCAGGGCCCAACCAGCATGGTTGGGTGAAGGTTCTCGACCCTCAAAAGAAACCAGAACAGGATCGTCGCCTACGATTGGCAAATGCGCGATGACGGCCACGTCCATCAGGGTCGGCCCGATAGGACCGGCCGGGAGGAGGAATACACTCATCTGAGAATGCCAAAAGGCCACCATCGCTAGTAAGGCTTTGTCGTGCAGATAAAGAGGCTGAGTTGAGAGAAGGATGACTTTTCCGATCCCTTGTTTTTTCCACTGTTCTTCAAAATAGGAAGGAGCCTCGCGTGCCATTTACGGTAGGCGTCTTTTGGATCAGTAAGGGGAGTTCTGATACTATCCAGAAGACGTTCTGGCTTGAACGCAGCATCTTTAACGATGATTAGAGAAACCTGAGAGATGACGCATCTCATACGATCAGCATCTTCGGTAGTGGTGCAGTAAGGGCGTATGGTAGGGGTAAGAACCCTCGAAGCCACAGAAGGCACTGATGGGTCAGCCATCGAAAGGGAAAGCGGGGACGTATTGGTTAGCCATGTGCGAAGATGTGAAGAAGGCGACGAGGAAGAAGGTTTCAGAGGAGGCAGTTGGATGAAGGAACAGAGAAGAATTTTCAGAACTCTGAATGCGTGAATTTGAAGAGGGTGAAGGAAGGGTTTTACACAAACCCCTTGATTTGACGTGAAGCAGTGTAATGATCACACTGCTCTGCAAACCCCTAAACGTCACGTCTCACGCAGTTCAAGGAGTGATGTTTAGGAGTTAGGCGGGAGAAGGCAAGTTGTTGAGCACAAAAAGAAAACGATAGGTAGGGTTTTCGAGAATGGGCTTACCAAATTAGGTTGAGGTTTATTCAAGTTTAATGGGCTTTCAAAAGTCCGAATATAAACGCTGTTAAGGAAGAAACTTCCTCGGGAAAAGGCAGATCAGGTGTAATAAGGTCGGGTGCAAAGATCGGGTGTGATCAGGTCGGGCACGGGGCTCAGGTGTAACAAGGTCGGGTGCAAAGATCGGGTGTGATCAGGTCGGGCACGGAGCTCAAGTGTAACAAGGTCGGGTGCAAAGATCGGGTGTGATCAGGTCGGGCACAGAGCTCAGGTGTAACAAAGTCGGGTGCAAAGATCGGGTGTGATCAGGTCGGGCACGGAGCTCAGGTGTAACAAGGTCGGGTGCAAAGATCGGGTGTGATCAGGTCGGGCACGGGGCTCAGGTGTAACAAGGTCGGGTGCAAAGATCGAGTGTGATCAGGTCGGGCACGGAGCTCAGGTATAACAAGGTCGGGTGCAAAGGTCGGACGGAATAAGGTCGGGCAATGAGGTCGGACGTGGTCGGGTCAAGCTCAAAGGTCGGGCGTAATAAGGTCGAGCAATGAGGTCAGACGTGGTCGGGTCGAGCTCAGAGGTCGGGATCGAAGGTCTGGTACAGAGACGAGACAGAATAAGGTCTGGCGTAATAAGGTTGGGCACAGAGATAAGACAGTATAAGATCGGGATTGAAGGTCGGGTGCGATAAGGTCGGGCACTGAGGTCGGACGTAATCAGGTCGAACTCAAAAGTCGGGCATGATAAGGTCTGGTACAAAGATGAGACAGGACAAGGTCGGGCGTGATAAGGTCGGGCACTGAGGTCGGACATGATCAGGTCGGGCAAGGAAGCAGTAGATGTGCAGGTCGGGCGAAAGAGCAGTTCCTGGACAGTTGAGGAAAGTTTCAACTGATGAGCGGGTTTGAAGGCACGACTTGGTGAGTCGGTTAACACACGTGTCGACATAAGAGAACTTTCTGGGCGGTTGACAGCGGTTGCTGTAACCGATCAGACGGCGGTTTAAACCGTTTCTTTAAAGAGTTTTAAATAGGTTTGTTCCTGACCTAAGAAACCATCTTCAATCGACATCAAATTCAAGAGAATTGCTTTTGGGGATACCACTTTATTTTTCAGTCTTTAGTTTTATTTTTTTTATTTTATTTATGTATCCTACAGAGATTCCTGACACTAATTATATCAAATTCGAAGATAATTTCTTATTTTCGAATTTTAGTTTTCATTGTTGAAAAAATTACATATAACAGTCACGTATTACCAAAACAAAATTAATTTCTTACTCAAAGCAGGACATCAAACTATACTTCAAGTCGAATTCTTCTTATTCCCAAACCAGAAATCTAAAATCCAAAGCTTTAAGTAACTCACATGTTTGCTCATACAACTAGTGTTATTTCATCCTAAAGATGCACAAACAACCGAAGTAGGAAAAAAAAAGAAAAGTAGAATCAGCAAACCATTTATAGCCTCCGGCAGAGAATTCTTTGGATTCGTATTTCTGAATTCCATGTTTCGAAAGTGAGGAAAAGGATTCAATTTTTACGAGGAATTGAGGCGATACCACTCGGGTTTCCAGAAGAACTCCTGCAACAAGTTTGACAGCAATAATTTAAACAAAAACAAAAGAGAGAGAGATATATATAGATGGTTCAATTGCACAAGCACAAACATAAACACAAAAAAACAAACCGTTATCGTTGGGTTGAATCACTGACGACATTGTGGCGGCTGCTATTCGTCCCTCTAAAGTCTAAACGCCACTGATTTTCTAAATTCTACTCATCTCTGTGAATAATGGAGGGTATAAATCAGGGGGTATTGCAGGACAAGGACTCGAAAAAAAAAAATAACTGCACCGCTGTGGTAGCAAGAAGGCAGCCACGGAAATGCAGGCAGCAAAGAAGAAGAGAGGAAAAGTGAAAGAAAAATGGAAGGAGATGAAGTAAAGGTACAGAAGAAAAAGTAAAAGGAAGAAGAGTGGAAACCAAAGAAAAGTGAGAGGAAGAAAAGAAGGGGCTGTGGTGGAAAGGTACGGCTTATTTTGCTTTACTTTTTCATTTCATTTTCATTTTTATTTTTAAGTAAATTATATGATACCCTTATATTTTTAATAAAAATGTACAAAGAGTTGATATTTTGTGTTTTTATTTTATGTATAAACTATTAATGATTTGTTGCATAAAATATAACTGTAATTTCGTAAAAATGCTTGAAATTTTTTATACTTTAAAGACTTTGTCAAATTTTTTTATAATTTTATAAATTTTGTTTTTAACATCTTGTACTTTTAAACATATGTCAAACTTTCTTAGAATTTGGTAAATTTTACGTTTAACCTTTTCGATCGTTTTTATTTAAAATTTATATGTGTCCAAATTGCAAATGAATTTCATAGTACTAATTTCAAAATTTCTAAAATTATATATATATATTTATTTTTTTACATTGAACCTCAAATAACATTAAAATAAACTTTTGAAACTAGAGAAAAAAAAATTATTTTTGATTATTTTTATTGTTTCTTTAGGTTAAATAATAAAAATAATGAGTATATTTTTTATTTCAAGGATATATAAATGAATATTCTAAATTTTATTTGCATTTTGAGCGCGTACGGATCAAAGGCCGAGATAGTTAGACGCATAGTTTATAGAACCACGAAAGAATTGACGCAATTTTTAAAATATGAGCTATTTTGCGCAATTTCGTAAAACCATATATGAATTTGTTATAATTTAGCCTAAATATTATTAAAACAAATAATATATATACACATTTATACGATACATAATAGAGTTTAATTTTATCAGTTCAGTCAATAATTCAATATAAAATATTATTTTTTATATTACTAAGATACTCATTAAGTGACGAGGAATCTGAAGCTGCAATAGCCCCCAACTCCCAAATTTTATTCATTTTTATAGTGTAAAAATCAATTTTTTTTTATGTAATTATGTTATTTTTTTCCAAAATACTAAAGTTATCATTTTTTTAAGTCTTTTCTTTTATTATTCTTTTCTTTTCTTTTGTTATTATTGTGAAAAAAAGAATTGAAAAATAGTGCCAAATTGATATAAATAAAGGCATTCAACTCCTTAAAGGCGAATGTTACTCTCTCATTGAAGACAATACTCCATTCGTCCCGATAAAAAATATATAAATTTTTATTTTGAAACGTCTAATTACAAATATCCTTACTTTATATCACATTATTACTTTTATATTAAAAAGTAAGGACAAAAATATTATTACACTACTTTTAACTATCAACTATAATTAAAATACTATTATTTCTTAAAAATCAAGCAAAAAGTAAATGTGTACATTGCAAGTGGACTGAGAGAGTATTTCATATCTAAAAGAACAATAAAAAAAAATATAAAAGCATCCACATCAATGAACTTCAAAGTTTCTTCACCCTCTCTCTTTTCTTCCAAATTATATTATCTCTCTGTATCATCTTATAAACTCATTTTATTTTATCCTGACATCAAACAAATTTATTTACAAAAATTTTAAATTTTCTCCTCCGCATGATTAATGTATTTTACTTTATAATATTTTAAATAATAAAAATTTCATTTTATATTATATAAAATATTAATATATAAAATATATTTAATATAATAATTTTGAAAAATAAAAAATAATTTCAAATACAACCGTACAAGTAATTAACATTATTGTATTTAATTAAAGGAACGATGGACTATACATATATGAACAAATACGTATGAGCACAAGTGTGAGCGCAGCAGCACCTTCATTTGAATCAAATCTTTCACACGTATTCTTCAATTGGCTGCTATTTGGTCATCGGGTAGTGTTCTTCACTTCTTACACCATGCGTTGTTCTAGGAATAAAATTCGATTTCCATCGCCCGAATGTGGCAGGGCCAAACCTGTCCCCGTAAAATCACTCGGTTGCCGCACCCTGCCAGAATGAATTCCGGCGCACACAATGGCGTATCAAATTCCCCCCAAATTCATCAATTTCCAGCTAAGGCTTGCAATCCCTAATTTCTCGCCCAAAATCCTTTCACATTCATCTTCAATCTCTACATCTGTGTTGAAGAATAATCAATTACACCCATTTTACAGGAAGACGTTTTCCCATATATTCCAGGACTGTTCCAAGGAATTTGCCCTCGTGCCGGGCCGGCAAGCCCACGCACGGATGCTAATATCGGGGTTCAAACCCACAATTTTTGTTGCCAATTGTTTGCTCCAAATGTACATCAAATGCTCTACCATGGACTGCGCCGGTAAGGTGTTCGACAGAATGACTGAACGGGACACAGTCTCATGGAACGCTATGATCTTTGGGTATTCAATCACTGGAAGAGTAGAAATGGCTCAGTCTATATTCAATTCGATGCCCAACAGAGATGTCATTTCCTGGAATTCATTGATTTCAGGGTATTTGCAGAATGGGAATTGGTTGAAGTCAATTGAGGTGTTTGTTGAAATGTGGAGAGATGGAGTGGGCTACGACGAGACTACTTTTGCAGTTGTTTTGAAAGCCTGTTCGGGTTTGGAAGACGGCTGCTTAGGCCGTCAAGTACACGGGAGTGTCGTCAAGTCGGGATTCGAAAATGATACGGTGACAGGGAGTGCAGTGGTGATCATGTATGCAAAATGCAAGATGTTGGATGAGTCTCTCTGTTTTTTCGAAGACATTCAGGTGAAGAATTGGGTTTCGTGGAGTGCGATAATCGCCGGTTGCGTTCAGAACAGCGAGCTTCTTGCGGGATTAGAGATGTTCAAAGAGATGCAGAGGGCGGGCATTGGAGTTAGCCAATCGATTTATGCGACGGCGTTTAGGTCCTGTGCTGGTTTGTCAATGTCGAGCCTTGGTTGCCAGCTGCACGGTCACATCCTAAAGAATGATTTCAGGCGCGATACTGTCGTGGGAACAGCAATGTTGGATATGTATGCGAAATGTGGGGATTTGCATAATGCTAGGAAGGTGTTCGATTTGTTGCCGAATCATAACTTGCAGTCGTACAATGCGATGATCACTGGATATGTCCGAGGCGATCGAGGAGTTGACGGTCTGCGGCTTTTTGTAGACTTGATGAAGTCAGATCTTCAATTCGATGAAATAACATTGTCAGGCGCGGTAAGTGCCTGCGCTGCTGTCAAACGACGGTTAGAAGGAATACAGCTACACGGAATCGTCTCCAAGAGCGCCTACCGATCAAGTGTTTGTTTGACGAATGCTGTTTTAGACATGTACGGTAAATGTGGCGCGCTGACCGATGCTCGTCAAATATTTGACGAAATGGTTGTTAGGGACGCCGTGTCGTGGAATGCCATAATTGCGGCTTGCGAGCAGAATGAAAACGACGAGACCCTATTCTTGTTTGCCAGCATGCTTCAGTCAGGGTTTGAACCCGATGAATTCACATATGGGAGTGTTTTGAAAGCGTGCGCAGGCTCACAAACGCTGCGATCCGGGAGGGAAATCCACGGAAGAGTGGTGAAATCCGGGAAGGGTTCAGATCCGTTCATCGGGAGTGTTCTTGTCGACATGTACTGCAAGTGTGGTTTAATGGAGGATGCCGAGAAGCTCCACGATAGATTGAAAGAACAGACGCTGGTTTCATGGAACGCGATCATTTCTGGATTTTCGACAAATGAACAGAGCGAAGCGGCCCAGAAGTTCTTCTCACGAATGCTGGACATTGGGATGAAACCGGATAACTTCACGTATGCCACAGTACTCGATACATGTTCGAACGTGGCGAATGTGGGGCTCGGGAAGCAAATCCACGCGCAAATAATCAAGCAAGAATTGCAGCTCGACGTATACATCGTGAGTACGCTAGTCGACATGTATTCTAAATGCGGAGAAATGGAGAATTCTGTTCTGATGTTCGAAAAATCATCAAACCGCGATTTCGTTACATGGAACGCGATGATTTGCGCCTATGCTCATCACGGCTACGGATACGAAGCTTTACAGATTTTCGAAAAGATGCAGATAGAGAAGGTGAAGCCAAATCGCGCGACGTTTGTCGCAGTTCTTCGCGCTTGCGCGCACATCGGACTAGTAGACGAAGCCCTTCACTACTTCAACTTAATGCAAGAAAATTACGAGTTAGAACCGCATCTGGAACACTATTCGTCGATGGTGGATGTGTTAGGAAGATCAGGTCGACTCAGCGATGCGCTGAAACTTATCGAAGAAATGCCGGTTGAAGGTGACGATGTTATATGGAGAACTCTTCTGAGTCTCTGCAAGACACATGGGAATGTCGAGATAGCCGAAAAGGCGGCGAATTCGCTTCTGGAATTGGATCCGGACGACTCGTCTGCGTATGTTCTTCTGGCGAATATTTACGCAGATGCAGAGATGTGGAGCGAGGTTTCAAAGATGAGGCGAAAGATGAGGGAGAGTCGGCTGAAAAAGGAGCCGGGTTGTAGCTGGATAGAGATTCAGTCGGAAGTACATATGTTTGTCGTCGGAGACAAAGCTCATCCGAAATGTGGCGAGATATACGGCCGCCTGGATTCGCTCGTCGATGAAATGAGACGATGCGAATACGTGCGGCTGCGCGGCGACGGCGACGGCAATCTTGTGGTATGTTAAAGATCTTGTAGTGAATAAGGAATTGAAACTAAAATTTTCTATTTCAATTATAAGAATATACGTATATATATATTTATAGTGATATATAAATCGTCTAAATAAAACAAAAATCCTAAGAATTTGTTAAATAAGATAACTATTATAAATATAATATATTCCTTCTAAATATATTTTAACATTAATTGCCAATATTGAATTTTTTTTCACATAAACAAATTAAACACTCAATGAATTTCTGTGGCTGTACAAAATACAAATCAGCTCCAAACACACAGTTGTCATCGACAAGATATCCATTGGATGGATCCATAAAAAACTTTCTTCGAAATGAATTTCGAATACACCACAATCTCATTACGTTACGAATTATTTGAACACATAATAAATTTACAATACATAACTTTAGAAGTATAATACTTCCTCCGTCCATTTTCTATTGTCCTGAAGTATATTTATACAGTTTTTAAGGTGATTGTCTTTTTGGGATGAATAAACAAATTTGTCCTTAAGTATATGGTAGAGATTAAAAGTAATAAACGAATGAAGGGTAAAAATATAAAATTTGTGTAAAAAAAAAAAAAAAGGATAATAGTTGTTGGATGTCCCAAATAAAAAAGTAGGACATTATTTGTGGACGGAGAGAGTAATTAATTAGCTGGAGTATAATCATAATGGTCTAACTTGTGATTATTATAAAGTAGAATGCTAAACATAACATTGACCTCAAAATGAGTGGTCAGTAACATCTTCAATTTCATTCCCATCAGGGTAGATTATGAGTTTCCTAACAAAACAATACAAGAACCAAAATCTTCTATCAGCTTGGTTTATCAAAGTTTGAAATTTAGATAACTTCAAGAAATAGTTAAAATTTAAGATACTTAATTGAATATTTTTTAAAATAGTAATGTATATAATAATATCTGTGTACATAAACATTTTTTATATATATTGGCCTATTTCGAAAAATAGGCACAAATATTTTTGCTAAAAAAAAAGAAAAAAAAAATGATATTTGTAAGAGAATTTCTTCTATAAAGTTCACGTAGCTAGCATACTTCTATATCTAATTCCATCTTAAATCACATTAGTAACGGAAAAAATGAATTTAGAAACGAAAAAATTTCGTTAAAAAAATAATATTTTCTTATAGTGTTTAATTCCTCACGCACTTAACAGAAATTTCTGTGTTTGCTCATAACTAATTGTCATAAACATTTATCACCAACCAAAGTAGAAAAAATGAAAATAAAAATAGTAGAATCAACAAACCATTTATAGGTCTTTATTCCATGTTTCGAAAGTGAGGAAAATGATTCAATTTTTACAAGGGAGTGAGTAAAGCTGACAAAAATTGACCCGACATGACAACTAGACACAAAATAATTGGATTTGGGTAAAAAATATCAACCCGATTATGTATACAGGTTGACACAAACACGACATTATAATAAACGGGTAGGGTTAGAGTTGAGCCTCGCAACTCGAACCCGACGCAACAACTCGATTATAATATATTAATATTGAATAATATATTTATTATATATGTAAAATAATTATAATTTAATAATTTTCTCATAAATTAATTTAAACTAAATTCAATTTTAAATAATTCAACTTAATTTACATTAAAAACCAACATAACACAACAGACAAAAAATTATTTAATTTGAATCAAGAATTTTGTATACGGGTCAACACGAGTCAACCTGACCCAACATGATAATAAACGGGTCAACACGAATCCAACATGATAATAAACGGGTCAACACGAATCCAACATGATAATAAATTGGTCAACACGAACCCGATAATAAACAAGTCTAATTAGGGTTCACTACAAAAAAAAATATCAATTTTGTAACAAGATTTTTTCGTTCTTAAATCCATTTTTTCCGTTACAAATGATATTAGAGACCACTACTAGAAAAAATGTTGATAATTGCGGAAATTTGTCGCAAATTTTAATCTGGGACAATTAAAAGTCACGGAAAGTAATTTCGTGACAAATTTATGTCACAACTTTTTGTTTTGACTATTCCGTAAATAATATTTGCTGAAAAAGCTACAAACAACTTTCCGTGACTATTTAAAGTAACGGCTTGTGACGAAAATGTCCAAGATATTTCTATTCCGTGTCTTTTGATTATTTCGTCACATAAATTGTTACGAAATTTTTTCTTGACTATTTTAAGTTGCGGAAAAAATAACCAAAATATTTCCAACATTTTCAATTATTACAGATATTGTCGTAGTATAATTTTTGTGACTTTTTAAAATCAAATTTACAACATAAGTAACGAAAATAACTATAAATTTTTCTTATTATTGTTTGTAGCTATTCAAAGTAATAACAAAATAATAAAATCATCTTCAATATCTTTATTCAATATCGTTCGTAGCTATTTAATTTTTTGTTAAAAATTCATGATGATATATTAAATAAATATGTATATATTTTTAAAAGATAAATTTATAATCAATAATATTTATATAGTTAAAATATAATAACAAACAAAAAGTAATACTTTAGAGTAGATAGCTAAGTTGGCATGACAGGTCGTGTAAGTCTTTAAAAATAGTGTGGTACGAAGTAATTCCGAAAAAAATAATCGTGTGTGGTTGCATTGAACACAAATTATAATATAATTTTTTTTTCAAAAATATAAAATCAAGGAATTGTTACAGCTTTCGTTAATATAAAGTCACAGAGGTGTAATGGTATTATTTTGTAACTTATTGTCACGAAAATGTCACAATTATAAAATATTTACGAAATTTTGTTGCAGCTTCTGTTGCTATATAAAGTCACGGACATGTCATGATATTATTCTATAACTTATTGTCACAGAAATGTTACCACTTAAAAAAAGTCACCAACAAAATTCAACGGAAATAGTTCCATATATTTTTCCGTGACTCTTTAGTAAAAAGTCACCGATTTGTACTAAAACCGTGACTTTTTTTACCGCAGCTATAGCCTAATTTTCTGGTAGTGGACGGAATTAGGGATGAAATTAAGTTAGCTACGTGAACTTTAGGAACGGAATTCCGTTACAAATATACTATTTTTTTTTGTAGTAGTTGAATAATTTAACCCGTTAAAAATATTCAACTCCGACACGAACCCGATACGAATCGATCTATTGTCAGCTCGGAGTGAAGCAATCCAAGTCGGGTTTCAAGATGAACTTCTGCAACAAATATGCATGTTAATGGAAAGGCAAAACCAGAAACTATAAAGGTTGGATAACAAACCCTCGTTGTTTAAAGACATCATCGTCGTTTGCTACTGTTTCGAGGAGCTTTTGTCTGTGTTTTTATACTAAAAGACATTCGCGGCCGTTGGTTTTCCTATATTAAAATTTACTCTTTATTAATATTATTATTAAAAAGAGTGGTATTCCAATTTACAATGCTTATAAACTAACTGAGATATAATTCTGTTTGTAGCTGTTGCTTTCCTCGAGAAGACGCCATTAATGTTACTTTTCAGGAAAAAAATGAATCAAAAAGCCTTAATTAATTAGCATAGCTAGGCTAAATTGAACAGAATCAATTTGTGATTGTATGAAATTATCCACGGCGGTCTTTATTCTATTTGAACTAAGTACGCCTAAATTGATTAGTTGGTTAGACGCATTTAAATCATTCAATAAGGCCAGCCGGGCTATAAGAAGAATTTATTGAACCGCAGAGATGTTGATGCAATTTTAAAAATACGAAGATTTAACGCAATTTCATTAAAATCATAGATGAATTTTGTGCTATTAAGCTTTCTTTTTATCGATAAAACAAAAATTCTAAAACGAATATGCAACATTGAAATCAAAAGCACTTCTGTAAAATAAACAAATAAAATCTCAGGCATCAATTCAACAATAAGAATGTTCAAGGGCATTTTTATTCTTCATCTTCCTCATCCTCTTGTTCTTCATTCTCTTCAAGTTACTAATAACTGGCGATTAGCACCGAGACCTGTGTTTCCAAAATACAGTTGTCGTCAACAACAAAATCTTTTCTAGGCTTATTCTTATCTTCAAATGGACAAAATTTGCTCCATCCAGCGACCCTATTCGAAAAATCAAACGAATGGATTCCTGCGTAAAAGAATAGTATTTGGAGATGACAAGAACCACGAAAAGATTAATCTTACAAAACTACGTGTTGAGTGAACTAAAACTATAAGACTTACCTTCTTTACAGATGCACTTCTTATTGGGCTGATTTATAATCTTAACAGAAAACTTAGCCTTCGCAGCATAGACAAAATCATAAAAGTCTAACACAATGAAGAAAGATAGACAGACTTTGTCCCTTTTCTTAATCATCAATATCCCGAGTTCGATAAAATTTTACTCTCCTACATTCATGAAGAAAATTGCATGAGATGACAGCCAAAACACAAGAATTTAAGAATAACCAACCATAGAAATTGGTATAGTACAATACCAAGAGCACCCACCAGCATTGAAGACTTCAGATTTATGACAACTTCGCATCCTTGATAATTCTGAACTCTTCCAAATTATATGTTTTCCCATATTTGGTTCTTCTATCACAGACTCAAGCTCAATAACTCGTCGGGGGTTTAGAACAAACACATCAGCTCCAAACACACAACGGTCATCAACAAGATATCCTTTACATCGTTTCTTAAAATATTCCAAAGATATGAATTTGGAATATCCAGATTCAGTGTTTCTTTCATGGAAACGGCACACCCTTCCTGTCCATACACACAGTTAATTATTTACTACTATATAAATTATTTGAAGAATTTCAAAACTGAAATATTTAATTCTTACCTGGAGAATAAGCGTAACGGTTCAATTTATGATTATAAAGTAGGATGCTAAACATTACATTGACCTCAAAACCCCACCTTTTGTCAGTCTCAGCCATGGCTAAGTACACCGAAATATAGTCAGAAACATCTTCTTCATCATTTCCATTAGGATAGATTATGAGTTTCCTGCCAAAACAACATGAGAACCAAAATCCCCTTGCAATGAATTAGGCATATTTAAAAGGCTAACACAATAAAGATTATCACTTCTGAGGCAGTGAACAAACCGACCATTTGTAGCCCCAGGCAGAGAATTGCTTTGTTTCGTATTTCCGATTTCCATGTTTGGAAAGTGAAAAAAAAAAAAAAAAATTCAATTTTCTCAAGGAATTGAGGTCGAGGAGATGCCTCTCGGGTTGCCAGAACAACTTCTGTAACAAAAGAATTGGATCACAAACCCTCTTCCTCTATGTCTTGAATTACAAGCATTGTCTTGAATTCTGCAGCTGATCTAATTGATAAATTGACCGTCATGTGACTATTGCTGTCCTCTAAACGCCATCAATAATTAATGTCGTGATTTCTTTTGTGCTTTGTTTTACTTGTTATTTCTGTATTTAATGTAACTATTGATGATTCATAGCATAGCATGAATGGAGTGTAACAGAAACATAAATATCTGGTTTGTTCCATAATTTATTATTACTTTTCATATCATTTTCAATATATATATTTTTCTTTTAAATAAATCAATATTCAATATAAAATATTATTTTTTATATTATCTATACACGAAAAAAAAAATCAAATAAAAATATTAAACAGACAAACTCTATTTACTTGTGAGGTTTTAGTTTTGGATTTTGATTTTGAATAGTAAAATTTTGGATTGAAATAATTTTTGATGTGATACAAATATGTGTTGATATGATATTTTAAATGTCAAATTATATTTTAGTGTAATAAAATAAATAAAAATTGAGTGTTGATTTAATATTTCTAGAGAAAAAAAAAATTAAAATAATAAAATTATGAGTAAAACCTCTTAAGTAAACACACAAATAGATCCCTAAAAGTATTTAATTAAAAGTCATGCTAATTGACAAAATCTCCCCAAGATAGAACCCTAAAAGTAATAAATAAATATTAAAAAAATATTTTTAAATCTCTAATCAATTTGATTTTTTTTTCCGTTGAGAGTATTTCTTTTGTAAATAGTTGCGTCCTAAAAAAAGTGTTCTCTTACCTGGTCAAAAGATCAAGATCAAATTATACATCGTTCTTACTAAAGAGCTACAATAGAGTTTATGTTTGAAATCATAAAACCAGGTAGTATCAACTAAAAAGCTAACACAAGCAAAATCAACCAAGTAGAGGAATCTTGACCTGAAACTCGGGAGTCTGCTCGCGTCCGTTCTAAGAAACCCTCGGGCCGCCAGGGATGTCCTCCGGAAGGAGAGTCCGCGCATTAGAGTGTGTGCTCGCCATACCTATTAATGAATCCACAACTCGGTTATCCTCTCGGAAAACATGTAAAAACAAATCCTCTACGTGATGTCCCAAAGCCGCAAATGGAGCCAAAGAAGGGAGGGCTAGAGCCCGATGACATCTAATCATTTTGATTTGAGTTTTAATCAAATTAAATAAGCATTAAATAATCACCCTTCCACTACAAGAAAAAATCATTTTTGTAACAAAATATTTTTGTCTTTAAATTTACTTTTTTCCGTTACTAATGACATTAGAGACAGAATTAAGAATTGAATTACGTTAGCTATGTGAACTTTAGGGACGGAATTCCGTTACAAATATATTATTTTTTTGTAGTGTTCACTTTATTGTGCGGAGAAGAATCAACACACTGCATGAAGATCGACACACTTTCGCCTTCTGCGCTTCTTTTTCCGTTTGGATACATATAAACTTTCCTATTTCAACCAGGGAAGTTGAATGAGACGGCACAAAATATTAAGTCAAGAAGAACATATTCATTTAGGTATACCTGACCAAAACTAATCGACAAAAACAAATGGAAACTAAAGAAGTAACTAAATCACCTCGAAAAGAAAGATAATTGTCCAAAATCTGATTATGTATAAAGATGTTGAACATTGCATTAACTTTCCAATCTGCAGGCAGAGAGCTCGTCGCAGCTATGGTCAGGAATACTGAAATGTCCTCTTCAGTGTTTTCGTCTTCCCCTATATCACTCTCATATCCGTCGGGATAGATTATGAGTTTCCTGTAAAAGTGCAGTTGGAGTGCGAAGGTTCATATTTTGATGGATACAAACATTTTCTAAGGAACTTATATTCATTCATTCTCGAAATTTGACAAGAAAGATATTCAACGTCATCAAACTAAAAAAGAGATCGATGTAGATAAAGAGAGAGCAAGATTAGCTCACCATTTAGTTGAGTTGTCATTTAGAAAAACATGTTGGATGGTGTGTTTGTTTGGGGTTTTGGATTTTGAGTTGAGATTTGAATGGTAAAAAATTTGAATTATAATAGTTGTCTGATGTGATATAAATAGATGTTGATGCGATGTTTTGAATGTAAAATTAATTTTTAGTATAAAATAAAAAATATGCGTTTGATTTGATATTTTGTAGGTTAAAAAAAAATTGATGAATAGTAAAATTTTGGAAATTTCTCCCAAACTAACACACAAGATTTCAAAACCGACGGAAACAATTGACGGTGAATGAATTTGCATGTATTAACATCCATGCACTAACGTAAGCAATTTGAATTCAAATTTGAATTCCATTATCGTGGGCTAAAAAATTTATTTCGCACATCTGTGGCTTATAGACCTTTATATGTCTAAATCATATTAATAACTATTGCATATCTCGCATTTCAATTAATCGAATAATCGATTCTGAAATTTTTAAATTTAATTTACATAGATTAAATTTAATCAATAAAATAATTAATCAATTATTTAATAAACTGTTATGGGTTAAGGAACTGTTATGCGCTTGCAATATCATAATATATTTAATTATAAAATATTTCAAAATGTTATCAATAACTATACCGAAGTATTTTGAAACTTGTAATTTAATAATATTTATTCACTAATGTATGAAATTTTATATTTTTATATCATATGTAAAAATATATGATTAGTTTTATAAATTAGAAAAAAAATATATATATCGAAGGTTTTTTATTTAAGAAAAAAAAAGAGAAAATATGAAATTAAAAATATCTTATATTGAGAAATTCTTTGTTAGATAGATTTAAAATACATAGGGTATGTTCATTTTGTATTTTGGATGGATGGAGTACTAAATATGAGTAATTGTGTTGTTAATGGTAAAAATAATATTTTACATTAATATGTACTCCCTCCGATCCAAATATCCTGCAACGTTTCTTTTTTTTGGTACCTCTCAAACATAGATTAATTAGGTGCATCTTGATGTACGACTATCTGGTTCCCAATAAAAATACTATTTCTTCTCCCAAATCATAATATTAAAATAGTATTATTGAAACTAAAAATTCAAATAAAAACCCTAATCTCAAACCCAAAGCAAACAAAATACTGTATATTGTAACCTTATAAATTTCTAATATTCAAAATACTACAGAATAAATTTTGGCAGCAGAATTGTAAGTAAGCAGAGCATCCAACAATCAATCAACCATGGATCCTAAGAATTAGGCTATTACAAAATAATAATAATAATAATAATACATAGAAAAACATCATTGATTTCTTGAGCAGTAAACTCTAATAATAACACCAATATCAACACAAATGACATTGCCAGTCAAAAACAACAACTCAAAGAAGATGGGGCATCCATTCTATCTGTGACTGTGGGGATAATAAAAACACACAAAGTAAGTAACCAAACTAGTAGCAACGAACACATTTACCATTACCATTAATTAGCTCTCCTCACTCGGCTCAGCTCAGCTGGCTAAATGGCTCGGGGAGTTGTTGAACATGGTGTGCCACATATAAGCTCGGGACAGCACCATCTCCAGCTCCACATGGCTCCAGTTAAGAGTCGGAAGGTGCTGAATGAACATCACCATTTCTTGGAATTCAAGCTTCTGTAGCTTGTCTGACCACTAAACAAGACATTTTCAGTAAGTTTTAGTTCAGTCTACAAGTGCAAACATATGGTCAATCACATAAATCTGAGGAATATAGCTTCAGATTGTTATATAATGGAATATATGTCGGAAGTGATGTGTGTTTGGTTCCTAGTTTCTCTAGAAATCTTACTATTCATAAAATAATTTTACCCGTAAAATATTACATCAAAAAATAATTATAAATACATCACATCAAATACGTATTCAATTCAAATTTGTACTATTTTCAACCCCAAACGTATTGCTGATGAGCTAAGGAAATCATGCAATATAATTCAGCAAAATTCCATACAACAAACTGATATGCACTCTCCAGAAAAGACTAGCTCGTCTAAAACAAAACAATATGAAAATACCCAACATAATGATTCAATGAGCTTCTAGACACATTAATCTGCAGATTGCACAATATATCAGCTGAAAGAGTAACAATCAAGGTATAAAGTGATTCTGTTTTTTTCTTTTTAGGTATAAAGTGATTCAGTATGCATATACTCTGTTACTCAACTTTTAAATGCCAATAAAGAATTCGGGCAAAGTTTTCTTACCGTTGAAAGAAAGCTGGCAAATATGTAGACAAGAAAGTCTGGTAGTGCATCTCCTTCGGCAAGATATGTGTCCCATAAACGAGTAACTAGATGAAATGGAATCTACACGATATGTAAACTGATTAGGGACAAGATTCTTTTTCCACAATATGGTTAAAGCTGATCATAAGGCATCAATACTTCCTCAATACAGCATCAAAGGTTTTAATGTTGATTTTCTAAAGTACCTATTATATTAAAGCATGAAATGGAGAGTGTATTCAAACCTCTCGTATAAGAAGGCAATTGAACCAGCGGAAAGCAAACTGAAGAAACTCAAGCCCCTGGTCCTCCATGTGCCTTGAGACAGGTTCTTCAAAAAGAAAGGGAGAAGATTAATTTTTGCATTTATTTTCATTTCTTGTTCTCTCCAGAACACATTTTCTTTCCTCACTGATTCCTTAACCAGACATACTGTTATTACTACTGCAAATGTTCCATTTTTGCAGCTATCATCCAAACCTCCATGTTGACGAAGAAATGGGAAACTTGAAAATGAACAGCGTAAAATGGGATTTATGTACACATAAACATAAATCGATGAAAAAATGATATAGAAAAAACATTTTTTTACAGGGATTAGTTATTAAAGACATACCATCAATCCTTCTAACCAATTCCTTCAGCTTAAACACAAGTCGCTGAATTCCAGGCTGAGCAAAGGTGTAGTGGTCTTGCATGCCGTCAAGCATCTTGGATAGGCACCAATAACAGTCGGCTTCTACATTTGATATCTTCTCAGGAGAAAGATCGGCCATTGACCATGTATCAATACTACCCTCCAGGTATTCTGACAAAAAAACAACTAAGAAGGGTGTAGCAAGATCATTTATTCCTTGCACATAACCGCTTGCAGGATGTCGTATAGCCCTGGAATAAGATAAAAAATATATATATATATGTAAGTGTAATATCACTAATTGGCAAAAACAAATTGACCAATTTCACTGATTATGTACATTAATATAAATCTATAAAGCACAAACAAATACAATTTTATACAAGCAAAATCATAAACATTCTCATAATTTTGTGTAACTAGTTAAAGTCACATTCATCCACAAACATTTGCAGTCAAACAGGAGGATGGCGTCAGGACTCGAGGCTTTTCTTGTTGTTAATAGAATAGTTTGCATATAGTAACTATCTCAAAGTCTAATTTTCAGCACAAAGGTTTATAATACTTCAAGTCAAAAGAAAAAAATGTTACATTCTCTTGCAGAAAAATACTGTTCTTGGAGTCCATGATTGCATTTTGTTTTTTTTTTGTTTATTTTTTAGTTCATTTTGCTTATGTGGCTTAGCGGGCTCTTCAAAATGAAGAAAATGCTCTGAGAGAGAATCTAACCAGATGTAAAGTATTCGCTCCAGCGACTTTTGAACTTCAATTTGTTGAAAGAAAGAGACATCAGGAACAGTTCTGGGACAGTCAACACCAATCTAGCAAGTATTTAGTGTAAACATTAAGTAGGTTGTGATGATAATTGGAATTACAAGTAAACAAATTAATGATTCGAAACCTGGCGAAGCATGTTAATCTCTTCATCCGTACGGTCTATATCAGAAATATCATAATGCTGAGCAACACAATCAAGATACTCCTGGCGCTTTCTTCTCAAAACTCCCTCCCTTCTATCTGAATTAGAGGGTGCATATCCCTGTGGTCAGTTAATATTTAATTCAAAAGAACTTTTATGCATAAGAATACAAATCAAGCGATCATAAATACTAGTTATTGAAAAGAACAAGGAAGAGAAACTAAATATCACTCAAAAAGATAAAAGGAAGAGTTCTCAACTGTTGCAGCATTGCAATTCTGATACTTTTAAGTATGGTAATTTAAAACTATACGCATTTACTTGGAAAGCTTCTCCAAAAAGTTATATCCTCACGACAGTTAAACCACTTAGCTTTTCACGACGATACATATAACACTAAGGGACTTAGCTGAGTTGCCACACCTTTGGGTACATTGTAGTTTATACATCACAAAGACTCACAAAAAGAAAAACTTATAGTTGAATGATATTTAAGAAATTCTTTAACATGTGAACTGCAAAAGAAAATTCACAGGGAACCAAAGTTTTCCAAGGATGATTTTAGAAATGGTCTGGTTAGTTTTTTTCAAACAATAAAAATTCATAAAATACCTTAACCAGTATTCACTCGCAAAACCGAACATGATTGGATGGTTAAATCTGAAATATTACCATCATATTTGGTAGTGGTACCATCTAATAAAGCTTTAAAACAAAATAAAAATCCAGTGAAGTGTAAAGAAATGCAGTTAAGATCCATGCATACCAAGAGAAGTCTCCAAACAGTTGGACGTAAATATGGAGGCACGCCACTCCATGCTAACTGCCGCAAATTTTCTGTGAGAGAAATGAATGAACAATGTAACAATGAGTCAAAATTAAACCAAGCCATCCTACTAATGTGGAATCCGAGCAGAGACTTTAGTAGAACAATCAATCAACAGTGACCCCTACAATTCTACAAAAAGTCAAACAAAGAGCATAAGCAAAAGTATTATTCAGAAAAAAGAGAAAATATATGGATGCCATCCATGAAAATTAGTAGAATACCAAGAGCACTTCTTGGTGCATCCATAAGAATCAATGTAGCAACAAACACAAAATATTATGTTTCAAGACATAGATGCGACTAATCTAAAAATGCAGAGAGATTTACAAAACGTTTTCAACGCAAACAAGTCATATCCAAATAATAATGGCCTATGCTGCTTAGTACCTCGTGTGTGTGCACGAGTGAGCTCGTGGAAGCTACCAGTACAATATATTCAGAATTGTTTCTGCAAAAGGTGCAGAAAGAAGACCTCATATTCTTTGATATTACTAAAATTTACTGGTTCATTTTAAAACATACTTACATGGATGTCAGACACAAGTATTCAATCTCATAAATAACTCCACATAGACAAGGGCCAAACCGAACCACCATATTTTAGATTAGAGAGTTTACATGAAAATAATTTACCATCTAAAATTCAGAGCAGCATCAGACAACAAATTTAATAGCACCCCAGCCCTCACTATGCACATCTGATACATATAGCAACTAATGGTCCTGCCCAGGAAAATGAAACTGAAAACCACAGCCATCTATAACATTCAAAACACAATAATATACCATATGCAAAGAAGCGGCCATCCAAAACTGAGGTTGAATTGAATATCATGAAAGGAAACACTATGTTTTAAGTTATTAAAAAAAATAAAAAATAAAAAATAAAAAAAAAACTACTATGTTTTAAGTTACTTACATTCCTAGAAGATTTGAGGAAAACGTTCTGTGTTTGAAATGCATTATCCAATTTTAGGAATAACATAACCACATGAGATAAGTTTGCAATACGATCATCGTCATGGAACTTCAGTAAATGAGCAAAAGAAGAGATAAGTTCAAACCTAAATATACAGTGGGCCCGGATAGTTCCTTTGTGAACTTCATTAGCCTAGCTGAGTCTGTAGATCTAGCTCCCACTGTGAATTTGGAATTATGAATCTCCTTTGAAGTGCTTTCACTATCCATGGTTTCAGATTTAGCTTCGTTAACAGACGAGTTCATGTCTGCACTTCCTCTGTTTTGAAGTTTTTCCTAAATGTAATTAATATGTTAATAACGACATTATTGTTTCCATTTAAACACATTATTGTATGATAACTTAAATTTTGAACCTCAGTTAATCTATCCCCGTGTTCACCATGGTCATTATTGCTCTCTGAATACCTCCTCCCTGTGTTTGGAGAAAGCAAAACTGACTGATCTGGAGGTTCGGATCTCCGCGTTATCAATATCTTTCCAGGGAAGCTCCGACCCTTTAGCAACCTGTGAGTCTTAAGCACACGTTAAGTACTCATTATTATGAGATACTTGTATAGTCAAAGACAAATCATAACATTTGATATCACAGCAAAAGCAAGCACACCTTGCTTAGAGCATATAAAAAATAAATTAGAGGCAAGAACAAGACAGCATAGCATAAAACTATTTCCCCGAATCTCATGGATAAACAAAAAATATCCATTATTATGAAATTATTAAGTAGTCTTCAACCAGCACAAGTTCAGGACAACCTTTTCTAGAGTGAATCAAAATATATCATAGAAACAACCCTTCAGTAAGCAAACATCATAAATTACACAATATCACATAGAACAAAACAAAAATAACATAATATCTATATATATATATATAAACCCACATATCAAGGAATCAAAACAAAATCCTTCACTCAGAGGCTTCATGGCTGTGAACATTCAAAACACCTTCGAATAGCAACGAATAAAATCAATTTCAGATCTTTCAACTTTGGAGTACCAATTTAGTAGCAGAATCCACTGAACAAACTAATCTTCTAATATCGCCGCCTTATAAATAAACTTGGGAATAAGAGGAATAGAAAATCTACACACAATTTACATGACCAGCTGACGGAGAACAGTAAAATCGGCAAAACATTCACTGATCTCGAAATAAAACTTAAATTCACAGAAGCCGGTTTCAGCATTTCGTCGAATATATAATGCCCATTCAAATCGGGCAGAAATCGAAGAAATCACAAAGGCAAAACCAAAGAGCACTAGCAAAATCAACGAAGTCCCAGTTTAAACTAGATTGGGGATTTGGGGAGGCAAATTGCTGGATCTAATCAGCGAAAACATACGGGCTTACCCCTGAACATTTCTGAGAGTTTGATTGAATCTAGAATCAAGAGCGGAGGGTGAACCAGGAGATTCCTTGTCTCGATCCTCTTCTCTACTGCTGCTGTTGCTCATGGCTTTCCTTCCTCGTTCGATCACGAGAGAACGGACATCGCGAATCTGCTACTCGATCTTCTCTCCTGACACATCCTCCATGATGATTTCTTTTGTAAGAGAAAGTATTCCTCAAATTATCACTGAATTTGCTGTTTTCTTCGCCGATCGATTATTAACATCCGTCTTTATTTTATTTTTATAAAATGTTTGATTTTGTTTGGTTTGTAGAATAGTTTGGAGAGATTTTTTCGTTTTTTTTTTTTTTATGTAAATTATAAAAATAAATATTAACAAATAATGAGTATATGTTTTAAGATATATATTAATTTATTTTCATAAAACAAATAAATTTGTATTTAAAAAAAAAAAAAAAAAAAAAAAGTAATAATATTCATCTATCACAAGCCAAAAGTGTTTCTAGTTACGGGATGTTTGCGAATGTTTCACGTTTTCAAGTCTCTGTCTGTTTAGTGTATTTTACTTCATGGGAACGAGAGTATTAGATTCAACCGAAAATTTATATTTAATTAATTGTTATTATTTTTATTATAATAATAAATAAATATTATTAAATAAAAAGAATGAAAATAATAAACAATAGTTTTAGTTAGAACCGAATTAATAATAATAATAATAATGTGGTTAATGTGCTGATATAAAATTTTTAGTAAAGTACTAAACATAAAGCATTAAATAAAAACATAGGGTATGTTTTTTTAGATGTGTTTAGAAAAAAATTAATTTTAGTTTAATATTAAAATAAATAATGATGGAATATTTTGAAATATTTCGGAATTTATAGAGTCTAAATAGTAAAATTCGGAGTTTGAGGTAAAAGAAACATATCCATAGTTACCATATATTGTTGTAGCCTTGTGGCACATAAATTAGAGGTAAATGACATTCGTATAATCACTTTGTTCACTTAGTTTTTTTTGTTTTATTTTTATAAATTTATTTATATATATATGTTAGATATAAAAATTGTATTGATAATATAAAAAATAATATATATGTATATAGTATATTTTTTAAATGATTTTTATAAAAATTGTGTCGATAAAAAATGTGAGCAAACCTAATATAAAGAGATAATGCACACGTATAAATATTAGTAATATATAAAATGTTAAATAAAAACACTGTATTGTATAAATGCATTACATATGTTAAATAAGTGTCGTGATTTGACTCATCTAATATTGTAATCGGTTCTGTTAAATAAAAAATATTTATTAAATTCAATCCCTACGCGCAAGATCTGACGGTCACGAGTCCATCTCCACACCATTAAGTCATCCCTTACGGGACTCTCTGCCATTCATTTTGCCCCTCAAATGATGAGTTCATATAACAAATATACTCCCCCCGTCCCATAAGAACAGTTCAATTTTTCATTTTTATCCGTCCCAAAATAAATGTATTATTTCTTAATTTAGTAATTATAGTACCTACCTAAAAGTACCATTTCAACTTACAATATATTACAAAAATGTCACCACTTTTTTATTACACAATATTAATAAGGGTATTTTTGTTTTTTTTTTTACTACAACTCAATATATACTAATATTAAAAAATTTACGTGTAAAAAGTAAATATTACTCTTTATATGGGACGGGGGAGTATTATATACGTAAACTTACATTCTCTATTTTCGTAATCTAAAATTATTGTGCTATACAAAGAGGTGTACATTGGTTTATTATTTATATACTATAATCTGTTGCAAAAATAACACCAACAAAAATAGCCGAAATACATACGATCTCAATCACTTTTTTTTTTTAAAAAAAAAAAGCTTTTCTCCTCTCACTTTCAGGCCGTAGCTTCCGACCGTCATCCTTGAAATCATCACCGTTACTGCATTGTAAATTTTTTTTAATCAAAGACCAACCGAGAAAATAAAACAAAAATGCACAATCTGCTCAAAATATCGAAGAGTGTTTCCTCTCCCAAACGAAATTCAAGAATTAAATTAAAGTTAATGTATTTGGTAAAATTAATATTTTAGTTTTGTGTTTTCGAATTCATGGTATAATCTAATTTTTATTTTATTTTATTTTTATCATGTGCCTCTATATGGTTTGTACAAGCTTATGTGTCCGTTGAGCTTAGTTCGATATCGTAATCCACTATCATTTCAGATATAGTTATTTGATGTATTTTAAAGTGTAAGTAACCTTATTGTATATAAATTAACTTTTATTTTCATTTTAGGTAAAATTGTTTATAACTCCCCTGTGGTTTTAAAATTTAGCGTAAAATCTCCTTATACTTTAAAAATTGCATGGTACCCCCTTATACTTTAAAAAACGTTGCATGAAACCCCACCACCATGAAACTTTCCTCGTGTGATAAGAAGATGATTTCCTATCTACATGTTTTGCATGGCAGAGAGGGTTTTATGCAATATTATTTAAAGTATAAGTAAGCGTCATCCAATTTTTTAAAGTAAAATGGGGATTTATGCTGAGTTTCGAAATCACAAAGTGGTTTCATGCAACATTTTTTAAAGTATAAGGGGACGTCACATAATTTTTAAAATAGAGAGGGAATTTACGCTGAGTTTCGAAACTACAAGGGAGTTATGGGCAATTTTGCTTTCATTTTATTAGGTTTAAGTTATAGTAAAATGATTGCATTTTAATTTACATACATATAATATTTGAATTTACAAAATTCAAATAATCATACATGCATGCGTGGATTTTTTCGGGCTAAAAGTATTTAACTTTTTTTTAACTTGACAAAATAATATTTGACTCGAGTCTATTTTTATATTTATGTTCTGACAGGTAGCACGTATGGCCCACTAACATACCGTATTTTACTCAAATTTTATGCCCTACTTATGTAATGAAGTTATATTTAAATATAATTTATTTGTGTTATAATTTCTAATATGAAGATTAGTAACCACATAGTTAATTGTCCTTGAACACTTTTATAGTCCAATGACTATACTTAGAAGTCCAAATAGTATATATTTAATCCAAATTAATTCAGTCTATTTGTCTATTGTATTTTCATTCGCCCTGTTAGTCGATTTTGAAAATTATAAATTTAATTTAAATTTTATCTATTATATAACTAACTAATTTTCCAACAAATTTAACCATCGACAAGCACCTCAGAAATGCTTATCATATAGGGCTACAATAGTGCAAGAAATAGCACTAAAATACCAAGAGAGACCATAGGTCTGTTTGTGCAGGAGCTTTTTTGGAATTACGATTCCCCAATAATTATACTATCTCCGTCTAATAAAATCAGCACTATTTATTTTTTGTACGTAATTTTTTTAATATCAGTATTATACTGATTTATAATTAAAAAGATAAAAATGTTCTTATTAGATTGTATGATATAAAAGTAATGACAATTGTATAATATTTTGGAAGTTGTAATGATATTAATTATATTAGGTTAGTAGTACAATTACTAAATTAGGAAATAGTATCATTGTTTTGAGACGAACAAAAATAGAAAATGGTATTTTCTTATGGAAAGGGAAGAATATTTTATATTTTTTACACAATTTTCTATATCTCACAGAAAAAAATAAATTAAAAAAATTAAATACTTAAAAAATAAAATAAAATAATATATTTTATATTTTTAATATAATTTCTTGTATCACATACAAAAATCAATCCATCTAAAAATACTGAAAAAACAAAGACCATATTTCTCTAGAAAGAATATTCTCAACATACCCAACTGTATAAATTAATCAATTATAAAAATGGGTATAAGTAAATTTATTTATAAAAGGGAAAATTAAAAAATTTACTTAGATATGGAGTAAAACTTTAAAAGTAGGGACTGAATAATAACTTTCAAATAAGTATGGGCTGATTCTACAATTGACACTGAGGTTGGGGATTTTAAAATAACTTTCCCAACGTTTATCGCTGGAAAGTGTTGAATTATGTCATTTTACATGTTTAACCTGCCTAATTAAATTAGGAAAATTATTATCGCGTGAGGGATAATTTAGTGATAGTGTGGGGTTGACTCGTGATATTGTGAAATAATAGGTTCGGTTCTTTCGAATCTTGTCTATCATGCATAATTTAATTTGTAGACTATTAAGTTCTGGTGGAATTTACCCGGAGCATAACATCATCTTTACAGACTCAAAAGTATTTAGGAAATACATTGTTTTTTTTTTTTTATCAAAATAATAATAATAATTTTGGATGAGTAAGAAAGTATAATAATATATATATATATATATTACAAAAATTTTGGAATACAATTTAGTTACTTGTCTCGTAAAGGACGGCTTGGTGATGTCGAGGTTGGATATGTGACCGTGAGGTCATGGATAGATCTAATTTGCAGGGTATTAGGTTCGGCCGGAAATTTACCCAGTGCGTATTTCCGAGTAACGATTGCGGATTTCCACATCATAAAAAAAATAAAAAAAAGGAATGACTTCTTAACATAACATATTACTCTATTTATTCCAACTGAAAATATTTTTATTATTAGTTTTGTCCATACCACTAAAAAAATATCTCTTTTGTTATCGAAAAATGTATAATTATATAATAAATGATAAAAATATCATTGCACGTACAATTATTTATACATAAAGTAGACAGAACAAAAATATCAAAACTATTTTATATATTTTCACTAATCAATAGTATTATTTTTATTATATTACAAAAACACAAAAGACTACTTTGGAGTAGAACAAAAATGAAAAAGTAGGTGTAAATTAAAGTATGTAGTTGTGTTGTATGAGTATTGAAATCAACAATATATTGCGCTATCTTTGACTATGACATATATTGTATGTGTTGCATTTGTCTTATGTTAATATAGAATGGATAACAAATATCATAGTCAAAAGACAACATAATTTATAATTGATTTTAACACATATAGTGTATTCATACAACACAATTATATTTTTACTTATGTGTTGTGTGTCCTTATATCTGAAAATTTTCAAGATAAACACAGCTTTACAATGTGGTTATCGTATTGTTATAGCTTCTGTGTGTTAAACGAACACTAACCTATGGTTGAATAAGTGTAACGACTTAAATAAATAACACACATAATTTTTTAATCTAATTTTGTATAAATACCTACATTTTGGAGACTCAAATCCATGAGCATGGCCGGCCCTGGCCCCGGCGAAAGGAGCGCCCGCCCAGGGCCCAATCTAAATAGGGTCCATTATGTATTTATATTATATATGTAATATTTATATATACATATTATTTGATTTTAATATACTAATAGAATAATGTGGTTTGATGATTACATGTTGCATATGCTAATTATTATATGAAAACGTAGTACAAATTAATAAAAAAATGACAAAAATATTTATACTAGTCTCTTATAACACTATTATAATGACATTTGCGCAAGAAATTATACAAATATAAGGATATTTTCAATGTTAAGTACAATGACGCAAAAGATAAATGAAACCCTTAGAGTCGGACGCATGAAGTATTAATTAATACTATTATTAATATTTTGTATAAAATTGTTAGAAGTTTTATTTTATTCAATTGTTTATATTTTATTATAGATAAAAATATATTATTTATAAATATTGTTTAGACAAAATTAATACTCCCTCCGTCCCGAAACTAAATATTCATTTGCTTTTTGCACGTAATTTTAGAAATATTAGTATTATATTGGAATATAATATGAATAAAATAGAAATGACTAAAATAACCTTATTAGTATGTGTGATATAAAGGTAATGACATTTGTGTAATATATTGTAAGTTGTAAGGGTATTTGTAATGTTAGGTAGACAGTACAATTACTAAAAAAGGAAATAGATACTTTGTTATGGGACGGACTAAAATGAAAAAATAGATACTTTGTTATGAGACGGAGGGAGTATTAATATTATTATTGATATTTTATCTAAAAATAAAGGAAAAAGTTATTTTATCTAATTATTTTTATTCTATTATAGATTAAAAATATATATATACTTCATCCGTCCCTTAACTATCTATTTGTTTGCTTTTTGCACGAAATTTTAGGAATGAACAAAATAGAAAAGATTAATATAACCTTATTATTAGAGTATTGTGTGATAAAAAAAAATCATGATATTTGTGTAATATATTGTAAGAGTATTTTTAATGTTAGTAGAAAGTATAGTTATTAAAAAAAAGAAATGAATATTTTGTTATGAAACAAATTGAAATAGAAAAATGAATAAATTGTTAAGTGACAAAATAAGTGAGACTAACAAAAATAAAAAATGAACATGAAAGGTAGGACAAATGGAGTATTAGTTTGCGTTATATTTATATTATACTAATATAGAATGAAGAATACATTTCATAGTAAAAAAAATAACATAATTTATAATTGATTTTCAACCTATATATCCCATCATATAACTATATTATATATTATTAATTTGTGTTACATTTATATTATATTAATATAAAACGAATAAAATATTACATAGTAAAAATACAACATAATTTATAATTGTATTACATGAATATATATATATATATTCTTAAGATTTTACTTTTCATTCTTTATTTTTTTGTGTTTATCTATAATCGCCAAAATATTATTTAAATAAAAATAACTAAAACTCAATTCAGTAATTAAAAGTAATTGATTTTGATTTTGATTTAAAACCAAAATCATATTGTTCAACTTGCATTGTTCTTAATAAAAATAAGTATATCAAAATATTTTTAATAATAATAAAAAAAACTCAAATAAAAAGCAAACAAACCCCACAACACCATAACAATGCATATCTTTATAATGTCAAATACTTCTACATTTCCTTAACAATGTATCTATTTTTTTCATTTTGGTTTGTCACATAACAAAATATCTATTTTATTTTTAGTAACTGTACTATCTACCTAAAATTACAATTATTCTTCCAATTTACAATATATTACACCGATGTGATTGTCTTATATTATACCATATTAATAAAATTAGTTTAACCTTTTTACTTTTATATCTATTATTTCCCAATATAATATTAATATTTCTAAAATTTTCTAAAAAGGAATGAATAAATAGATATGTGAGGAGAAAGCAATTGTTTTCATTTAATTTTTTATTTGTTTTATTTTTATTAGAATATAATAATATTTTATATAAAATTAATATAAAAATCATACTGAATAATATTAATTTTTATTTTAAAAAACAATACTCTCTTTTATTTGTAAAGTTGACTTTTGTTTTGCTATTCTTAATTTTTTTTTAAAAAAAATCAAATTAAATATTATTTATTTATTATATTATATTAAAATTTATTTTTATATTTAAAATGTTATTTCAAAAATTGCATCAAATAATTATTTAAAAATTTTCCTATTAAAATCAAAATAGAAAAACTAAAACTTTACAAATAACCACATTATTATTTAAAAACATATCACGTTAGACCACATCATTTTGTAAACACATAATTGGATCTTTTGTCTTTAACCAAATTATCGAAAGGACTTTTTGAAAAAAAAAATATATTTTTTATTCTTACAAAATATCAAATTAAATATTATTTTAATATAAAAATCAAACTAATTTTTCTCACACTCAATCAAAAGAAACATAATACTCCATTCGTCCAAGCTAAAAGTATACATTTACTTTTGGCGCGGAAATTAAGGAATAATAATATTTTAATTATAATGTGTAGGTAAAAGTAGTGAAATGATATTTTTGCCTTTATTTTTTTGGTATAAAAATAATGATGTGATGTAAAGTAGAGATATTTGTGGAAAAAATAGGTTATTTAACGAAATGGTTACGACTTTCCAAAATAGAAATATGTATACTTTCTAGCTGGACGGAGAGAGTATTATTTTAAAATCATACCACAGTAGACCACATCATAAATATATACTTCTTCTGTCATTTAACAATATATCCATTTTGATCCGTCCATAATAAAATATCAATTTCTCTTTTTAGTAATAGTACTATATACCTAACATTACAGATACCCTTACAACTTACAATATAATTACAAATATTATTATTTTAGTTATTTTTATTTTATTTCTACTATATCCTAATATAATATTAATATTTCTAAAATTTCGTATAAATACACATACGGCGCAACATGAAACACGACTGTGATATCAAATTAAATTATATATATAATATATATAATTGTACTGAATATTATATATATTTATGTGCACCTTGATTATTGGTGAGGCTATCAAGAATCAAGCAGAATGGATTCTCCTTCCCCACCTCACCTTCTTGTCTTCCCTTTCATGGCTAAAGGCCACATCACCCCACTCCTCCACATCGCCGACTTATTCCGCCGCCGCGGCGCCGCCGTCACCCTCCTCACCGCCCCCGCCAACCGCCCCTTCATCGCCAGCTGTCTCTCCCACCCCGCCGCCATCTCCATTGTCGACATTCCCTTCCCAACCAACATCCCCGGCATACCTCCCGGCATTGAGAGCACCGACCAGCTCCCCGACATATCCCTTTGGCTAGAACTCGTCGAAGCCACAAAGCTAATGCAGCCGCACTTCGAACAGATCCTACAATCCCTGCATCCGCGCCTCACTTTGATGATCACCGATTTCTTCCTCGGCTGGACCCTCGACTCGGCTAACAAATTCAGCGTCCCCCGGCTAGCTAATTATCCCATGGGATCCCTCCCGTTGTGCGTATCTAGATTGGTAATGTTACATTTTTTAAGAAAATTTCTTAGTTATATACTTGATTGATTGCAGATTCTGTGCTAATCCAGTCAAGTAGTGCTGATTTAATTGGTCAGCATGTGTCATCCATATGTTGATTACTCCTATAGTATATATTGATCCAGTTAAATGAGCAGTATAACTTGACTTGATACATTTAGGGTGTGTTCGGTTGTGGAATTATATCCCAAAATTACTATTTATCAGTTTTTTCACACGAAAAATATCAAATCAAATATTTATTTTTTATTTTTTATATTATATTAAAAATTATATTTATATCCCATCGTACCACCGTTTCAATTCAAAATTTTTATTATTCAAATCTCAATTCATGCCAGACAAACATACCCTTGGATTCATATGTTAATGAATCAAAATAATCCTAATACCTATAGATTTTACACTTGTACTATAATCATAATAATTACTTAACCTGTCATTCATTTGACTGGCTATGAATTTTAAGAAAAATAAGTAGAAATAAAAAATTTATTTTTTTTAGATAAAAAAAATAGCATATTAAAAGAAGATTTGGTACAAATTTGAAGAAAAATAGATAGAAATACAAATTTTTACTTTATTAAATAAAAAAAATAGCATCCTAAAAAAATTGATAATAAATTTGGATGACGGACTTATATTATCTGCACATTCATTTCATTTGAAGTGATTAGATGGAGAATGAATAAGCTACCTGTGGTAACAGGTGCCTCAGGGGCGATTCAATGTCGAGGGAGAGAAGATCAAGCTTCACGATCTGCCATGGATCGACTTGAAGAAGGGAGATATTTCGGCGGTCTTCATCGATCCGGAAGGAACCAAGGGAACCAAATATCACGACCTCACGTACGAGCACAGCAATTCCACGATGAACAGCTACGGCGTCGTGGCCAACACCTTCTACGAGATGGAATCGGAGATCGTCGATTTGTGGAACTCCAAAATCGGTCCACCGCTGTGGTGCCTCGGCCCCGCCGGAGCTCCGACGGCGCGTGAACCGAGTCAGGCAAATCGTCGAACACCTTGGTGGATATCCTGGCTGGACCAGATGGCGGCGGAAGGGAAGCCGGTTCTGTACGCGGCGTTCGGGACTCAGGTGGAGATCTCCGCCGCGCAGTTCCGGGAGGTCCAGGCGGGCCTGGAGGAATCCGGTGAGAATTTCTTGTGGGTAGTGAGGAAGAACGGGTCGGATTTAGAATTAGGGTTTGAGGAGCGGGTGAGAGGGAGAGGAATTGTGGTGAAGGAGTGGGTAGATCAGCGGGAGGTCCTGGACCACGGGACGGTACAGGGATTTCTGAGCCACTGCGGGTGGAGCTCTTTAATGGAGAGTGTGTGCGCGAAGGTGCCGGTGGCGGCGTGGCCGATGATGTGGGAGCAGCCGCTGAACGCGGCGGCGGCGGAGATGGCGGGCGTGGCGGTGAGGATTGAGGAGCGCGATGGGTTCGTGACGAGGGAGGCGCTGGCGAGGGCGGTGAAGGATTTGATGGAGGGAGATGCTGGGGAGAAGGTGAGGAAGAAGGTGGAGGAGGTCGGCGGCGCCGCCGTGAGAGCGGTGGAAGAAGGCGGCTCTTCCTGGAATGCGGTGGGTCGGCTCCTTAGCCAACTGGCTTGAAGGACTTTTGTGTAATTTATCATTTTCTTAATCGGCCCATAACTGTTGGACACTTTTCATTCTAATCTATTCATAAGAATTAGACATGTTTCTAACAAATGTGTTTTCGGTAGGTGTACTCGATTTAATTTTTACTTTATAATTATTGTACAAATCTAAAAATTAAAATCTACCTCTATTAATCTACAGGGTAGGTTAAACCGTACTCTTTATTTTTCTCGCAAAAATTGTCGAGATTCTCTGCAATTCGTCAAGTTTATTCGGCAATTCACAAAATTAAAAATACACGCTGGTAGGTGGCACATAAGGCAATATATACACAACATCGATGCTTGGCATTTCGATTGTAGATTTACAGGGGCTTAATACCGGTGGGGAAGGGGAGTAAACAGCGGCGACAACCGGACGACACACAGGTGAGACAATCTCGACACCGTCTCGTCGATTTAGCGTGATTTCGGATCTATTATTCTCTGTTATTTGAAACTCGACTGAAATCAGTGCAATTCAGATAAAAACTATATATTAAAAAAATATATTTTTATCTTTACGAAAAATATGTATATTTCTATTTATATTTAAAAGTTTTGTTTTTCTATAAAATTAACTTTCAAATAAAAATTATTTGACAGTTCAAACATTACTTTTTTGAGTTCACCATTGCAATTGCTTTTAGGTAGGGCCGGCAAACAGATCAGGTGGGGTCGGGTTCAGGTTCGGGTCAGCTTTCTCTGCAATCCGTCAAGTCCATTCGGCAGCAACAATTCACGAAATTGAAGATACACGCTGCTAGGTGGCACGTAGCAATATATACAGAACATCGGTGCTTGGCATTTCGATTGTAGATTTGCAGGGGCTTAATCCCCGCGTGTCAGTGGGGAAGGGGAGAAAGCAACGGCGACAACCGGTCGATACACATGTGAGACAATCTCGACACCGTCTCGTCGATTTAGCGTGATTTTAGGTCTATTATTCTCTGTTATTTGAAACTCGACTGAAATCAGTGCAATTCAGATTAAAACTATATATTAAAAATATATATTTTTATCTTTTACGAAAAAAATATTATACTTCTATTTATATTTAAAAGTTTTATTTTTCTATAAAATTAACTTTCAAATAAAAACTATTTGACAGTTCAAACATTACTTTTTTGAGTTCACCATTGCAATTGCTTTTAGGTAGGGCCGGCAAACAGATCAGGTGGGGTCGGGTTCAGGTTTGGGTCAGCTTTCTCTACAATCCGTCAAGTCCATTCGGAGCATTCACGAAATTGAAGATACACGCTGGTAGGTGGCACGTGAGGCAATATATATACAACATCGGTGCTTGGCATTTCGATTGTAGATTTGCAGGAGCTTAATACCGGTGTGTCGGTGGGGAAGGGGAGTAAGCAGCGGCGACAACCGGTCGACACACATGTGAGTCAATCTCGACACCGTCTCGTCGATTTAGCGTGATTTTGGGTCTATTATTCTCTGTTATTTGAAACTCGACTGAAATAAGTGCAATTAAAATAAAAACTATATATTAAAAAAATATATTTTTATCTTTACAAAAAATATATATTTTTTTATTTATATTTAAAAATTTTATTTTTCTATAAAATTAACTTTCAAATAAAAACTATTTGACAGTTCAAACATTACTTTTTTGAGTTCACCATTGCAATTGCTTTTAGGTAGGGCTGATTAGGTGGGGTTAGGTTCAGGTCAGCTTTCAACGGGTTACAAAATTTTTGACCTGAATCTGATCCATTTAATTAAATGAGTTGATATTTGCAACCTTAATATGACATTTTATTAATCAAGTCAACATGAATATGACCTGTTTAACCCGTCTAAGTCTGTTTAATTTAAAATTAAAATTTCTACTAACAAAAATTTCAATGCATAATATATACTCACTCCGTCCTGCAAGAAGGTTGTCATTTGGTTTTTGCGTCATTGTATTTAATATTAAAAATATTTTTATATTTGAATAATTTACTTGACAAATATCATTGTATATGTATTATAAGAGACTAATAAACATATTTTTGTTTTCTTGATTTGTACTAAGTATTGATATAATAATTAATATTTAAAGATCAATACGTACAAAATCAATGACAACCTTCTTACGGGACGAAGAGAGTATACATATTAAAGCAAAACATTATTTATTTATATTATGAAACCGATATTCTAAGAGTAGAATTAACAAATACTAAGTAATAGTACACAACACAATCCTTTATTTTTTTATTTTTTTATTTTAATAAAGTTAATCATAAATATTGAATTGTATTGATAACATTTAGAAAATATATTTAATTTATTATTTATTAATTTTAAAATTAATAAAATACTATGATTTTTAAAAAATAATACATATATAATGAAGTTAAGAATTAAAAAAAAATAATTGAGATGAATTTCTTTGTTATGGGTATAAAATTGAGAAGAATATATTTTTTGATGTGACAGAGAAATATAATTGGTAAAAAGTAACGAAGATACTCAAATATTTTCATTGCAAGTACTCTTATCTATTCTTTTGTTCATTTCGTGTGTGTTAGAGCGGACAAAATTAGACACGATCCAAAACCCGATCCGAACTTGGGACGAAAAAATAGTATTTGGGCAAAAATATGTACTCTCCCGCACCTAGAACTAATTATATTCATTTATTGCAAGAGTTCTAAGATTGAATAATTAAAGGATAGAAATATATTCACAAAAAGCAAAAAGCATAATATTATTGTTTACTTATTCTCTTTTGTAGCAACACATTTGCTATTATTATTATTATTATTATTATTATTATTATTATTATTATTATTTTCCAAATACAAATGAATATTCTCTAAGATTCATAACAAATTTACAAAATTAATCTTATTTATTATTGATCATTAGATAAATTAAATTAAAAAAAATCCAACCGTGCATATTTAATCAACGACGGCGTACACGATACTGAATTGTAGAATTCAGCATTGTGCTGACAACAAACCGCAACATACGGTGTGTTGTCAGACAACAGACGGTGTTACTACTGGCATCATACAGTCTGCATTACTATAATACAAATACAACACATGCTATAGTCTTATATAACACAATCAATACTTGATTTCATCACACCGCATACTATTATACAACACATTTGTAATTATAAATCAACAACGCAAATACAACACATGAACTGACAACACATGCTATAGTCTTATACAATACAAATACTAATTGATTTCAGTACACCATATATTGTTATACGACACGCTATAATTATGAAGTAACGTCATATGTCATTATTATACACAACATGTGCCGTGTATAATAAGACTTTATGTTGTTTCTATATACTACGGGTGTTGATTCACATCAGCACCCTAACCGTTCCCTTAATCAGCACTGTTCGACATCAACATAGTACTATATTTGAACAAATTAACAACGTTTTGATCTGGTGCCAATTTATCTTAATCACAATATATAAAGCTGATAGGCAACACATGTTTGCAAATAACATAGGGTGTTTTTCTTTGATGAGTTTAAAAAAAATCTGGTTTGAATTTAATATGAAAATAATATTTGATGGTGTGTTTTGTGAATGAAAAAATTTATTTATTTTTTCAAGAAAACGCAGAGTTTAAATAGTAAAATTTGAGAAAAAATTGCTAAAAAAAGATACCCATAATTCTAGTGTCTATTCATATTATCGGATGTATTGTATATATATATATATGTTATTAATGTATGAAATTCGGTTTATTAGAAAGGGTAAAACTTTTATTTTTTTTTGTCCGATCATATGGACTGAATCCAATGGCTGCCAATTTCCTACATAGTTTGACATCGCAATTTTCTCGTAACCGATTGCAACTGTCCGAAAATGTGTATAAAAACCACTTTTGTGCAGATTGGCAGCATCTTCCATTGCCAGAAATTTTAGGAGAAATATTTAAAGATCACTTTAAATTTCTTGTATTTTGCTTTTTCTGGTATTGTATCTAATATCCTAATTCAGAAAATTTATCAAGATTTTCAAATTATAAAAACCAAATTCGAGTTTTTGATTCGAATTTAATTATATAGGGGATGTTGCATGATGCTGATTTTTCAACTCTAACACACGTTGTATGTACAAACAGTACACACTATTATTATATACAACACATATTGTGTATAATAAATGTATGTGCTAATTTTTTATAATAAAAAGTATGGTGTATAAGAGTATGTCACGTGCTATCAACTGTTTTTTGTGCTGTATGAGACTATAACATGTAAGGTTAGTTTATGTGTTTGTATTTGTATTATATTAACATATACAATGTGCTATCTATAATAATATTGTGTGCTGTCAGACAACACACATGTGTTCTTTGTTCATGTGCGATATGCACTAATACCATGTACTTTCAAACAACAAACCATATATATTTTATCAATGAAAATATGCTCTATTCCTATTATCTTAAAATAAATTATGTATTTCTATTATTGTATACTAAAATCATGTCTGGACCGGATCCACAAAGACAACGTGAGAATCTGGTCATCGTCCACTCCGTCCATCGGACAATCCCTCAGCATATCATCGCAAAATAATTAAATGACAACGGCCGATGACCGGAAAAAACATAAAAAATCGAAACAAGAAAACAAAACGTGTGCGAAAAGGCCGAGCCGAAGCGAAGCCAATTCATGGCCGAAAGGGAAGGGCAGGGGTGGGGTGGGGGGTGGTGGTGGTTAGGTGGGCCCCCCTCATCACTTTGCCAGGACAAACACTTTCCGTTTCGGTAAATACAAGAAAAAAACAAAACACGACCCCAAACGAAAAACACCAAACCGGAAAAGAAAAAAGAAAAGAAAACGATACACTCATCAAAGCCAAGAAAGAAAGGAAAAAAAATCGCAGCATCAGCAGCAAGCCGTAGTAGTAGAAGTGTATTTCTCTCAGTTCTTCTCGACGCCTTTATCCCCATCGTCATCATTCAGGGTAAGAACAACTTTCCCCAACTTTGCTAGGGTTTTCCCCTTTTCCGCCCTTTCCCAAATCGCGTCCCATTTCAGTCGCTCGCACGGCCTCCACCACTGATTCCGCACCCGGAATTCCATGGGTATCCTCAGATTTCGTTCCAGGTATTTGTTTCCGACTCCAATTCACTTTATCGTTTGATGAATTGTACACGATTTGTGAATATTGATTTTCGATTTTGGGGGATTTTAGAAATTGGATTATGGAAAATTGGATCTAAGAAGGTTATGAGCTGCATTTTACTATTATTGTTTTTTTCGCATTTCCTGTTAATTTGGTTATTTCAAGTTTGGATGGAATTTGTGTGGATGTTTTGCAGGATTTAGGCTCTAGGGTTTCCATGTTCATATATGAAATGAAAAATTGCCCTGAAAGAAGATGCCCCTTTTTATAGTTAGTTCTTTAATAGGCGATTCTTTAGAGATTTTGCCCCTTTGGAAAGGGATTTGATGATGCGTATGCAGATTTTAAGTAAGGGTTTGGGAATTGTAATTTTGGGAAAGGGATTACAGACAGATTCATTTTAAGCAGTTTACAAACTTTAGTAAATCTTGGAAAGTTTAGATCTGAAATTCCTATCTTTAAGTCCTTTCATGGTTTGTACACAACAAACTTTGATGTCATTAAGGATGAGAGGTGTTCATAGAAACTGGATATCAGCAAATCTTTTCTGTATGTCATTGCAAGGATTTTGATGCTGTCATAGTCGAAAAAGGCGTGCATAGAATTGTTTGCAAAATCCCAAATCATTGAAGGAGGATTGCAGTAGTGTATCATTAATTCCGTTTTTATCGTTTTCAAATGAAATTGATTCTTCCTTTTCTTGAAGGTTAGCTGTTGTTGGTATATAGATAATCGTCATCTCTGATCTGTGTACGCTCGTCCATCTATATTTTGGCATGACTAATATAGTGCACTAATTGTTAGATGTTGTTCAGTCCTTCCGGTTATAACTTCCATGTGTTTCCGCGGCTAAACCTTTATTTTATAGGGTGGAATCTATTGATTCGACTACCTTCCGAAGAACCTGTTAAAATCTTTCAAGGGCTATCATGTCAAATCTTGGTACTTTCTGAGGATCAGGAGGCGTTATGGATTGTGTAAAATCATTTACTCGACCTGGGGGTAAGTTATATTGTTTTACTTTTCAACCTTTTTATCGAACATGTTGTTGAAAGTGTTTCGAGTGGAATTGTGTTCTATCCCTTTTCTGAATGCATCGATTAAATTCGCAGAGTCTTGGCTCCATCTATCGCTACATTTTGCTATATGTCTGTCTGCCTTAGAGAGTGCCCTGGCTCGTCAGGCCCCGACAGAATCGATTAATATTTCTTCAGTATCTCTACGACCTAGCCCTCCAAAAAGTGGAATCTTTGGGCCCATCGAAATATCGCCTGCGGTTATTCAAAACTCTTCCTTTCCGGTCGGATCTTTTCCTCCTATCTACCCCTCTTATCCGAAAACCTACGATCCTGTCCTGACAGGGAGATGCCCGATTAATTTTTCCGTTATCTCGGGTGCTATGGAAAAAACGGCATCCGATTGTGAGCTGTTATTAGCAAAATACGTCGGAAATGTCATATGCTGCCCTCAGTTCAGCAGCTTGCTCCACATATTTCAAGGGTTCTACAGTCAGAGTACCGGAAAATTAGCGCTGCAAAATGCAGTCGCCGACGATTGCTTTCAAGATATCGTCAGTATTTTAGTGAGCAAAGGTGCAAATGCCTCGGTTCCAGCCATCTGTTCGACAAAATCCGCCAATCTTACCAGCGGATCTTGTCCTGTGAAGGATGTAGAGTCGTTCGAGAAAATGGTGAACACCACTAAACTATTGGAGGCGTGCAATGCGGTCGATCCGCTTCGGGAATGCTGTCGCCCGATCTGTCAGCCTGCGATTATGGAGGCCACGCTTAAAATCTCCGGAATGCAGTCTTTCATGAATGACAACAAGAATTCTGTCGGACTTTCCAATCACGTCGATGTTGTCGGCGACTGCAAAGGAGTTGTCCACTCGTACATCTCTAGAAAGCTATCGTACGACACGGCGAACAAGGCTTTTCGAATATTGTCGTCCTGCAAAGTCAACAGAGGTACGTGTCGTCCATTATTACGCAGCCAAATCTTTTATATCGTGTAAGGGTAATTCTAATGTCGTTGTCGACGCAGCTTGTCCTTTGCAGTTAGAACAGCCGTCAGAAGTAATCCAAGCGTGCCGAAATGTCGCTGCTCCGAATCCTTCGTGTTGTAGCTCGTTAAATACTTACATTTCCGGTGTCCAAAGGCAGATGTTGATAACGAATCGGCAGGCAATCATGTGCGCAGCTGCCCTCGGGTACATGCTGCAAAAGGGAGGCGTAATGACGAACATTTATGAACTTTGCGACGTTGACTTGAAAGATTTTAGCCTCCAAGGTTAGGAATTTTCCATTTTTGCGCGTCGTTTTTGGTTTGAACTCAGCCGTGTTACTAATCTCATTTGCACTTTCTCTGTTCCTCTGTTTTCCGACTGGAGCAGCGGACGGACACCAAGGTACTAATTTCCTTCCCCTTCTTTTAAACGGTAATTTGGATCCTGATTCCTCAATTAGATATTTCTTATTCCTCGTCAGTATATCAATGAGGGCGGGATTTAGGTGATTTATATCTTCGAAAAAATACACGCTAATGCAGGGTGCTTGCTACGAAGCCAGCCTGCGGATATGGTTTACGATAACATATCAGGGTTCAGTTTCATCTGTGATTTGAGCGACAACATCGCAGCTCCGTGGCCATCCTCGTCCTCCCTCACTCCATCACTCTGCGCTCCTGGTAAACTGATCCGAAAACTTTATCGTGTGTTTGTTTGTGGGTTTGAATTTTTGAATAGTAAAAAGTTGAATTTGAATAGTGGTTTGATGTGATATAAATAGAGGTTGACGTGATGTTTTGAATGTAAAATAAATATGTAGTATGATATAAAAAAGAAAAATAATTGTTTGATGTGATATTTTTTGAGAGAAAAAAGAATCTGAATAGTAAAAATAATAGTAAAAATATGTGGTAAAACCACAAAAGAACACAACCTTAGGGTGTGTTTGTTTGAGGGTTTGGATTTTTGAATAGTAAAATTTTGAATGTGAATAGTTGTATGTATGTATTAATATCACAAAATAATTATTTGAAAAGTGGAAAATCTTTAAAAATTCACAAAAGAACACAACGGAAAGGCCTTAAGCCAGCATATGCCCTAATGAGAGCTGGATCAATGCAGAGATGTCTTTGCCGGCGCTGCCAACATCAGAGACTTTGCACAATCCTGGTACGTCTTATTTACTTACATACTGTTTGTTCGATTCGGCTGCGGATCAAGCTGAGGAATGTGAATGTGTGTGTCCAGGTTGCCGAGGATTCGCCGTGGATCTTCTCGTGCCGATTCTTTCGATTTTTGTGTTCAGTGCATTATCGTTTTAATGGGAATTTGCAGAGGGGTGAGAGAGGGGTCGCTCGCTGGCCATGGGAACAGTTTGTGTGAGGTACAGAGAGAGGGAGAGGAAGGGGTGTTTAAATTCCAGCATTTTGGGCTGGTGGTTGGTTGGTTATATGTAAATTTGAGCATATATATATATATATATTTCATGTACAGTAATAGCTTCCATCTATATCATCATCACCATCTTCATTTTTTTCAGATATATATATATATATATATGTATGTATGTGTGTGTGCGCGTATTGGCACTTGGCAGGGGATGTGGTGCTTGTGATTATATTTTAAACTTTGGAGTTCAGATGATGATTGAATCTCACTGTGTAGTGTGGGCAGGGGGCAGGGGATCATACTAATAGGAAGGCAATTCGTATTTTCGGATCGGGTCGTGTTCGTGTCGGGTTGAGTCATGGGGATAATTAAAAAGCTGTTAATTTGAATCCGACCTGAACTCGAAATTTGACATGAAACCCTTGACTCGAATACAACACAAATTCTTTGAGGTCGAATTCAGGTTGACCTGAATTACTTTCAGCTCATCCGAAATCCGAACAAACCCGACACGAAATAGATCCGAAAATTTTTAAAACCTTAAGTCAACTTAAAAATATTTTATTTTTATTTTTTATATTATTTTATATTTAAATAATATAAATATTATTAATTAAAATAATAATAATAATAATTTCAGATTAACTTGAAACACAAAATACGAAATCTGACCTAATTTTTATATTTCGAATTATCAGGTCGACCCGAAATACGATCCGTACACAACATGATTTTTTTTTATATTTTGGGTTTGGGTTGACCCGATTTTTTGCAGACCCGAAATACTCAAATCCGAACCTGAAATTTTTCAGGTGGAACAGATTCGATTTTTCCGGTCGGGTTTAATTTTGACACTTCTAGAAGGAATCCATTTATACAACATATTTTTTGGAATTTCAGAAATTTTTAAGAATAATAAAAAATTAGTATTGTATACGATATTTGTGAGAGAAAAAAAAGTATTTGATATAATATTTTTTAATTAATTAAAATAATGCGGAACTCTTAATTTGTTGTCTAAACAAAATTTTTTTATTTTGTATACGAATTTTATGTTTATTTGGGTTGAATTAGTAAATATAATATTATATTAGTTAATTTTGATATAAAATAAGTATATTTTGAAAAATATGTAAGTAATTTAATTAGGAGAGAGAAAACTTAAAGTAAAATAAGGTGGGTAAGTAGTGATGGTATTATTTATAAAGAGTGTCTAACGTGTGCTATACAAATTATTTTTATATTAAATTATATATTAATTTAATACTTTTTATAAATAATATTTATATTTTTTATACATATAAAATATATTATTCAATAAATCAATTTAATATACTTTTTATTAAATTATAGATTAATAAACTATATTCTTTTAAAAATATGTAGTAATAAAAGATGAAGAAAATAAATATATACATACATTTACATAAAATACACTTTATTTTAACAAATAGGCGTAAGAAATGATTGACGGGAAAGAACGTGAACAATTCTTACCTAGAAGAAAAAAATTTTACCCGGAAGAGAAATAGCTCGAATCGATTCTCAAACCCCAGGAAGTCTTACCTGCGATTGTGTTCGAATGAGAAGGTAATTTGTAAATTTTTATCCTAAACCATATTCCAAGTGAGGGCATAAAAGTCCTATCTTGAAATTGGGAGTTCTATCACATTATACACGCAAAAGCAGCGCATGTATTCAATGTTTTGTCAAATCCAGACGGAATGGAAAAAATGTACATATTGTTATATTTCATAAATGTTAATTATGCAAAAAACTGAATAAAAGGATATTTCGTGCAAATTTTTTATAACACAGAGGTGTCTATTGGAATTTACCCAATATATTATTATATTCGCGAGTTGAATGGCCTAGGAATTTCTAAGACCATTTGAAATACAAGATAAAATCCGAACCTAAAATTAATTTGCCTCAGAGCTCTTTTAAATTCCGAAACAATTTTTTCGAAATTTTTTGAATAAATAATGGTGGTGATTCTGAAAAATGTCAAATAATATATTGCCCATTGAATATTAAAATATTGTCACACGACTTAGAAAATATTGAGTTTTGTATCAAATTGTATAATATAGTGTGAAATGCTCCCTCATGCACATGCAAATGCTAAACATAATTGAACGAGATGCTAATTTATTTTAATTAACAATAATTTGAATATTTTAATTCAAATATGATTACTAATACATATTGACCAAATTCTTAACACACCAAACGAGATTATAATAAGTTTCATATTATTTAAACCTTGGAAAATTATAAAAACAATTAGGTTAATACAATTTTATAAATTATTATCCAAATTGACTAAAAAAACAATAATCCATGCCAGGCCTTGTGAATCGGGACTGTGGACACTCTCCTATTTTGGCACTGATGATCCCTATTGTTTACCAATCATTAAAAAAATATTCAAATTTTTTATTTAAAATATTAAATAATATATATATTTTCAAAATAAAACATCAAATATTTATTTTTATTCTATTCTTTTTTATTTTTAAACCAATTCAAAATTCCAATATACTTTCTTTACGTAGGGTGTATTAACCCATTAATTTTTTTAAAACATATCTTTTCACGTACGTACGCTTGAGCTAAATTTTCTCGGCAGGTTGATAGCAAACTAGCTAACAAAACCATGCTAATTAATAAATAAAATAATTTAAGATAAAATAAAATAAAATAAAATAAAACGTGTTATATAACAATACTAAAACGTAAATAAAAAATAGTTCCAGAATAAGCCCATGTATTTCTGAGTTGACAAATCAAGGTCAACAACGGTGGCAAAACGCCAGTCAACGCTTGACTACTTCTTCCGTTTTCCTTCACGCGCGCACACGCGCGTGTTTTGTTTGCTGACGTAATCACCTTCGTAAGATTATCCGTATACACACATACATGATACATACAGATAAATATATATATATATATATATACATACATCACCTTCGTAAGGTTCTCAAAAAATACGACCGTGAATAATTTGAGATTTTAATTTAAATAATTATTTAATACTATAATTTTTTTATAAAAAATACCTTTTGGCCCATTCAAATTGATTAATAAAATCGTGTAATCTGATTTTTATAAATTTATAATTTATATAAAAGATAAATAGTATTAGCACGTGATTATTTACTAGAAAATTGATACTTAATTATAATGGTTGTGTTTTTTTGCCAGTTTTACCATATGTTTTTACTATTTAAATTCTTTTTTCTCTTTAAAAATATTAAATCAAACAATTATTTTATTTTATTTTATTATATTATACTATAAATTTATTTTACATTCAACATATTATATCAATACTTGTTTATATTATATCAAACAACTATTTCAATTCAAAATTTTACTATTAAAAATTCCAAACTCAAACTCCCAAACCCACAAACAAACACACCCAATGGCTCTCTTCTGATGATCGTACCTTATATTGTCAGCTTATTGGGAGTTTGATTTATTTGACTAATACTCGACTAGATATCGTTCATGTAGTTCATATTGTGAGTCAATTCATGGCTTCTCCGATGACCTCTCACCACTCTGCCGTTTTATATATTCTTTGTTATATGAAAGGTACTCTCCTGCATGGTTTACATTTTTCATCTCACTCATATTTGACTTTCAGCGGTTACTCTGATTCTGATTGAGCTGGTGATCATAGCGATCGTCGTTCGACCACTTTGTTTTTGTTTCTTCCTATGTGATTCTCTTATCTCTTGGCGTAGCAAAAAACAGATTTTAGTTTTTCAATCGAGTGCCGAGTTAGAGTATCGTGTTCTTGCTGATTCTACATCATAACTTTTATGACTTCGTCAATTATTCATTGATCTTGGTGTTCCTCCGTTATCTCCTACGGCTCTTCACTATGATAATGAGAGTGCTATAAAAATGGCTCACAATGATACCATCCACGAGCGCACCAAACCTATTGAACTTGATTGTCACTTCATTCAATAGCATATCGTTGGCGGGGATGTCCATCTCGTTCCCACACGCTGATCAGACATGAGAAATCTTCACCAAGTCTCTTTCTCTTAAATGCTTCTGATTGCTCTTGGACAAACTCAAGTTTGGTCTTACTGTCCCATCTTGAGTTTGAAAGGGTGTTATTTGTACTATTTAATTTTTTATAATTTTTATTTAAATTATATTATTTCAATCTTACAAAAATTATATTTAATTTATTATTCAAGTATTTAATTTTTACGATTCTTAAAAAGTTACACTAACATATCATCTTACAAAACATCGTTTCTAATTTATTATTTAACAAAAAAAGTCATCAAAAATAGTTCTTTATTAATTCTCATTCGTTAAAACTCTATTTTGTCCGGTTAATAATTTATTCTTTATTGATCCATCAAGGTAGCTACCACTACCACAATAAAAGAAATTTATTTCGAAAGATCCGAGACAATCTTGTGTCACAGAACCTTTATTCGAGACAAATTAGTGTTTCAACAATAATTCAAGACATTACTGGGATAACTTATCTCGATCATAATCTCAAAAATTATTTTGTGACAATATATTATTACATATTTGTCTCACAATACTACTGAGGGTAGAAATTATCTCGAAATAAATCACAAATATATTCCGAGAATTTAAATTGTCTCGAAATAAGTTGTTAAAAGTATTATGAGAATATGGATTCTTAAAATTTATTCCAAAATAAGTGACGAAAAATATTCTGAGAGTTGAATTATCTCAAAATAAGTCGCGAAAAATATTCCAAAAGTATAAATTGCCTCGAAATTAATGTGTGATAAAAATAATCAAAAATTAAACGTTATCTCAAAATGAGTCACGAAATAAATTCTGATGGTATAAATTATCTCAAAATAAGTTACGAAAAATATTCCGAGAGTTTGAATTGTCTCGAAATAAGTCATGTAATACTCTGAGAGCATGAGTTGTCTTGAAATAAGTTATGAAAAATACTCCAAGAGAATGAATTTAATTTCATGAACCGAGTCACACACTATGTTTTGAGAATTGAATTTGTTGCGAAATATGTTAAATTGTCTCGAAATATGTCACATAAAATATTTTGTGAATTTGAATTCTCTCTAAATAAATTAAAAAATAAAAATAAAAATAAATTATCTCAAAACGATTCACAGATTATATTTCGAATACGGTCTCAAAAATACATTTACTTTTGTCACTGATTTAGAGTAAATTATAATTGTATAAATTAAAATATATATTTAAATAGTTGAAATTGTATGTACTAACTGTCAGAATTAATTGTATGGTAAAGTATTTAAAATATTTTCAAGCTATATATATATATATATATATATACATACAATGTTGGAGTTGGTGTGAATGTGTATTAATTTAAATTAATGGACGAGTTGGATTCAGTTTTTAATTATTGAACTATACATCAACCAACAACTCTTCTCATCATATCTATGTATTATATATTAATGTGAATATACAAAAATATAAAACAACAACAATGGTAAAAATTCTCAGTAACTAATTCTCCCTCCGTCCCACGTACCATTTCCACGTTGTTGTTTCTGTCAGTTCTACATACCATATCACTTTTTTTTTTTGGAAAATAATTACACACTTTAATATCATTTTAAATTTTTAAATTTATTTTTTTTAATTTTAATTAAACTAATTAGATATCTTAATTTTAATTTATAATTATTTATATTATATGATAATTATTTTCACTAATACATTCTTAATTATCTACTAATTACATCCCACTTAAAATACCGCGTCTACGGTGTAGCAAACACGGTATGTGGGACGGAGGGAGTAATTAATTAGAAATCTTAGTCGTGATTAGATATAAATATATATATATATATATAAATGAATCATATAACAAATTTTCCACATCATTTATGTATATATATATATACATTTTTTTTTTTGATGATGTGCGAACTCGCAGCTGCTATCCGAAAGCGCGCATTGGTAAACTCCCGACTGAACTTAATACCCTGCAAATTAGGCCCGACGGAAAAGTCACACTAGACGATATATATATATATATATACATACATATATCTTGTTATATTATTGAATTGTTATTAGGTTAATTAACAGCGTTGAATTAATTTTCAACCCAACATATAAACACACAAAAAACAAAAAGAAAAAAAAAAAGTGAATTTAAGTAAAATAATATTGGTATATTTACTAAGTCTTTTAGTTATTATTATTATTATTATTATTATTATTATTATTATTCAAGGATTTTGGTTAAATTGCGATGATTCATAATAAAATAAAACTAAAAATAAAAATAATCTAGAAGATTAAAGAGGGCCTAATACTTCTTAAGTTTATCCAAATTCATCTGTAATCTAGAAGAAGAGAAGATATGCTCTAATTAATTTGAATGTGATATCTATTGAATTTTTTAATGACACCAAACAGATAAACTATATAATGTTGTCTGCTAAAATAAATTGTAATAATATTCTAAATCCAAGTTGTGTCAGCTGAATTAATGTCATGCAGAACAACTGTTGCTTAATTTACAAATATTCCTAAATAAATAAAATAAAATGAACCCATGTCGTCTGTGTTGAAGTCATGATTTTCCAACTATATGTATGTCTATAGTTTTACCAAAGATCTTTCAAGGGTGATGAATATATAATTAATTTGAAATTAAGAGTTCAAATAGGAATAACACACGAGACTATTTTGAATATTATTACACTCTATTGCTTTTTCTTTCTAGACTGCCCATCATCTCTTTGACCATTAATATTAAGTAATTTTGCTATATATATATATATATACAAGTCTGCTCAATTGGAAATTAATTTATGAGAAATTCGGAAATTGCGCATAAGATCATCATCTTATTTATATTTTTATTTCATTCTGAAACCCTAATTAGGGTTTCAGAAATTACCTAGGATTCTTGAAGCTTACACATATATGCAGGAATAAGAGGTGCTCTCTCTCTCTCTCTCTCTCTCTCTCTCTCTCTCTCTCTCTCTCTCTCTCTCTCTCTCTATATATATATATATATATTTATATGATAAATTATACAATATTTCACTGTGTTTTCAGTAGAAATGCACAAAATATTATGGATTTTATTTATCGTGTGAAAATTTATTGTGTTAATGTAAAGTTTATTTATTGTTCAATATTTGATTCTAAATAAATATCTAAATTAAGCATGTTTTATAAAAAAATAAAAAACCTAAAATATTTTAAATAATTTTTTTTTGAATAAAATAAATAAATAAAATGAAAGATTAATCAATTATTTATTTATTTATTTATTTCATTGAAAAATATTATTTAAGATATTTTGTATTTTTTATTCGTATTAAACTTGTATAATTTAGATATTTATTTAGAATCAAATATCAATTTTGAACAAAAGAGAATGTTTCCTGTAAATTTTATATTAATACAAGATGGTTTCATATAATAAATAAAATATAAGATGCTTTATGCATTTTTACTAAAATATAAAGAGATGTTATACAATTTATCATATATATATATATATATTTGTTTGTTTACTTGCATGCATTAAATGTTATGTAATTGAATATTATATGTGGAGACATTGATATTTCACTGTATAAGAAAAAATTATTTTTGTAACAAAATTTTTTTATCTGTAAATCTACTTTTTCCGTTACTAATGACATTAGAGACGGAAATATGAATGAAATTACGTTAGCTATGTGAACTTTATGAATGAAATTCCGTTACAAATATATTATTTTTTTTGTAGTCATACATATATATATATTGAAGGTATAGTTTGCATAATCTTGTAGTATTAAATTATTAGATCATCATCGTATCTCATTAATTCATATAAAAAAATGTTAATAACAATGATAACAACGATGTTATGACACAATACGTATTATAATTAATTTGACATAAGATTACCGGTTCGGTTCATATTAAACGAGTCAAATTAGATTACCGGTTCGGTTCATATTAAACATATTTTTAACACAACACATGCTAACAACAAATGTGCAATATTAATTCATATAACACATACCGTGGTTGATTTCAGTTTGTATTTTTTATTTTCATATAAATAAATATATTGATATGATATTTTGAATATACAATTAATTTTTAGTATACTAAAACACATATTTAATTTAATATTTTTCATGACAATTAATAAATAGTAAAAATTCACCAAAATCATTCCAACATAATAATAATAATAATAATAATAATAATAATAATAATTTCCATGACCCATTGACCCCATTAGTCATCGACTCCACAAATTCCATAAAATCGTGCTTCTTTTTCACACACGCTTTTAAAACACGTCAAACAATTCCATTCAAACTTCTTTTCCCTTCAAACTTTATATATTGGCGTGCTCATACATACATACATACATACAAATACACACATATATATATATAGATATATAAAGCTACCATTAATGGAATCCATTTTTTTCTTGATGATTTTGTAATATCTAGACAAAGGCTGCTTCTGCTTTATGCCCCAATTCTCCCAATCTCTTTCCCAAGTTCACATTTACAAATTCTATCTCTACCCTCTTCTCAAACACATTTAGGCAGCCCCATAATTCAATGCTAGATTGGGCTATGGCAGCCAATAATCATAATCATAATAATGCAATTTTGTGACACCAAATTCATTAATTATAAAATTAATTAATTTACAAAATTGAGAAAGCAGCAGTGCATTAGGTTTGGCACACTCCCAATTTCTCTTCATCCTAACAATCACCAAACCAAAAATCTGAACATCGATTTTTTCAGACATCTTCGGGAAGAACAACACCAATTATGAGCTCCGGCAATGGCGGCTGCCCTAATCATATCCTTCTCCTCGCCCTAATCTTCGCCCTCAACTTCACGTTTCTCTCAGGGCTCCCCACTCTGTCCGAATCAGGTATTTTTAACTTCATCAAGTTTAATTCTTTGTCGGAACGACAAGAATTTTTTTTTTTTTTTCCGACTGTCTGAATTCGATTCAGGTCGCCGGCGGCGGCTCTTCTCCGTTAACGATTCCGGCGGGCATTTGGACGACACTGTGAGAGCCGATCCCCTCGACGGTCTGAAGAAATACAGAGGAGGATACGATGTTACTAATAAGCATTATTGGAGTGTAAGAATTTGACAATTTCTTTCATCTTCAATAATCAATCAATCGACTTTGATTCTAGTTCTTAATCGTTTTTGTATTGATCGGACAGTCGACGGCCTTCACCGGCTTTCCGGGATACATTCTGGCGGCGATTTGGCTCTTCTCCGGCGTCGGCTACGGCGGATTTCTTCTTGTCCGAATGGCTTGCTGTAATGGAAGAAAAAAGGCCAATATAAGACTCCCCTGTAGTAACAATTGCCATCTATGGCCGTTGCTTTTTGCCGTCTTCTTCACAGTTCTCGCCGTGTAAGTCCTCCGGCCGCCGTTAAATACTTTCCGGCGACATTTTTTCCCGAAATATTTAATTCATATTCGTCGAATTTCAGGTTAGGCTGCGGCTTAGTTCTCGGCGGAAATGCCAAGTTCCATTCGACGGCGAATACCGTCATAGACATCATAATCGACACGGCAGATGAGGCCTCCGACACAATCTACACGACGACCGGAGCTATGAAGGAAATGAGCACATCTTTGGGCCGAGTTACCGGAAATTCTCAGGCGACGAGGTTTCTAACCTCGACGTCCGAGAGATTAGATAAGCAGGCGGACGACATACATCGACAGGCGGCTAAAAATAGGCGCCTAATCGATAAAGGGATAAAGATAGTGTACATAGTCACGACCGTAGCAATTTCATTGACCTTAACGACCGTGCTTGCGCTCTTAGGTAAGACGCAGCTAAAATTTCCTTTGAGTTTGAATTTTTGAATAGTAAAAAGTTGAATTCGAATAATTATTTAATGTGATATAAATAAAGGTTGATGTTATATTTTAAATAGTAAAAATATTTGATAAAACCGACAATAGAACACAACCTAGTTTCTCGAACTAATGTACGATTATTGTTTGTGTTTACGCAGCGCTCGGCGTCCTCAAGTTTCAGAGAATTGCCCGAATGTAAGTAGTAGTCGAATTAAAATTTATACTTTCTCCGTCTCTTAACAAACTATCAATTTTTTCATTACAATTTACAATATATTATACAAATGTCATTACCTTTATATCACACAATACTAATAAGGTTATTTTAATCATTTCTACTTTATTTCTACTCCGTACAAAAACCAAACGCATATAGATATGGCACGGAGAAAATATTATTTTGTATGAGCATATATCATGCGCTGAAATCTATAGTAATATAGGGTATTTATTATAACGTGATGTCTTGTCAGCACTGTATTGTACTACTTAGTAACGATCCGTTTATCGCAGATTGATCGTCTTATGTTGGATTTTCACGGTCATATGTTGGCTATTCTTCGGAATTTACTTGTTCCTACAAAAGTACGTCGCTCTCGTAAGCTTCCTTTTTCGATTATAACAAACGCGACGCGACAAATAGATCAACTAATCGAGCTTTACGGTTTCAGCTTTGCAGGCGACACGTGCACCGCGCTAAAAGGCTTCCAAGAAGATCCTTACAACAACAGCTTGAGCTCGATCCTCCCGTGCGACGAACTTCTCTCGGCGAAATCCGTGCTCAGCGACGTCAGCGCGGAGATCTACGACATGGTGAACGAGGTGAACCTCAACATCTCGACATCCTACGGCAGCTTCGTTCAAATATGCAACCCGTTCTCGCCCCCGCCGTCGCACGACTACCAGCCGTGGGACTGCCCGCCGAGCTCGATCCCGATCGGGAACATCCCGCGGATGCTGAGGCTGCTGGTGTGTCCCGACGACGCCGGGGGCGAGACGTGCAACGGCGGGATCCTCGTCGCGGCGAACGAGTACTACACGGTGGAGGCCTACACGACGTCGATACAGAGGCTGCTCGATGTGTATCCGGGGATGGAAAGCCTCGTTGAATGCCAAACCGTCAAGGACGCGTTCGGCGAAATCCTCGAGAGCCATTGCGGCCCGTTGAAGCGATACGTGAGGATCGTTTGGGCGTCGGCGGCGTTTCTGTCGATCGTTATGGCGGCGTTAGTACTCGTCTGGACAGTCGGCGCGGCGCATAGCCTGCGGCGGCATTCCGGGGGATCGGTGAAGCCGCAGGACGGTGGCAGACCGTCGGAGACGATCGAATCAGGTGTCACGAAGGATGAAACCTTCGAAGGAAGTGAATATCATTGATTAGGAGAGGCAAGATTAGATACAGAGACTGTATAGACAACTTATATATAGGAAATACACATTTTGTAGGAAATATTTTTTTGTTCTTGTAAAATAGAGTGGCTATATATATATATATATTGGCTAATGGGGAGAAACCCAGGCCTGGAGTTGCATGGATCAAGAAAATATTTATAAGTGTATTTGTCTGGTGATTGGATTTTCAATCCACTGTTCATCCCATTATTTCTCCTAAAAATATCACATTAAACACCTATTTTTTACTTTTTTTATATTATACTAAAAGTCAATTTTACATTCAAAATATCACATCAATATCTATTTATATCACATCATACAACTATTCAAATTCAAAATTTTTACTGTTAAAATCCCAACTCAAAATCCAAATCCCAAACAAACACATTGCATATATGTAATTTTTAATTCAAAGAGTACTCTATCTGTCCTAATACGAGCTAGTTATACGTTGTGTATTGTCTACGATCGAACCTAAAAAATCCCTTAGATATGATGCAAAATGGAGCCTTCGTTGTTTTAATATTCGTCGTCGTTAATATGTTTGCTCGTGGCAATGGTGAAATATATATATATTTTTATTTTTCTATCATAAAAAAAATATAAGTTTGTTTGTATCTTTTTTTTTTTCCAAAAAAATTACTCTTATTTTACTTATCTTCATCTTTTCATTTTAGGTTGTTTAATTTGTTATTTTATTTTTTAAAAATAAATTATACGTTTTAACTTTATTTTAATTTTTTTAAATTTTAAATAAACTAATTAGTTATATTAATTTTAATATATAATTATTTTTACTAATATATTCTCATTCACTTAAATTTTCGTATCTATGATAACATAAACACCATAACTAGGACCAAGGTAATATAATTTTTCTATTCCAATTCAATGTATCATTTTCATTATTTTTATATGTCTCACTCAAAAATATTTTTGATTATTATTATAGTAAAATTAATTTATATATATTAATACAACAAAAATACTCTTACCTTTTATAAAATCATTTATTTTCTTTATACTTGCAAAGATAAAAATGTTAATAAATAATAAAATATTATTATATCTTAATCTAATGTATAAAAGAAAATAAAATAGTACATTGAATTGGAACAAAAAATGTACCACTTATTATTATTTTTTTTCTATCTTTTTTTATTATAACAAGGTTAGCTAATTTAGGTTTTTGGTAAATTAACTTTTTGGAATAACTTTTTGAAAAAAAAAAAATCTAATTTTTGAAAAGTTAACTTACCCAACGTTGAAATAGCTTTTTCACTTTAAAATTTTTTATTTGTCCTTAAAAATTTATTATGCATTTATACAAATAAATATATTTTGATTATTTTTCAATTTTATTAGAATATTTTATTATAGTATAGTTTTACTTAAATTTAAAATAATTAATTTATATATAAAAATTATTTTTAATTATAAAATATATAAATTTATTAAAATCAATACAAAATAGAAAATATAAATATAAATAATTTATTTTTATATTAAAATTACATTATATAAATTTTATACTAAAAATAAATTAAATTTATTAAAAATTATAATTATAATGACTAATCGATAATTAACATAATAGATATATATACAAAAAATTTATTATTTTATATTTTACATTATTTTCAATAGAAAAAATTATTTATATTTTTCAATAAAAATATATTATTTTTTAAATCTAACTATAATAAAAATAAATACTATTTTATAATACTTTTACAATTTTCAATAACTAATAATAAAAAAATTTCAAACATTCTAAATTCAAAAGAACACAATTGAATATATTGAAAAAATAAAAATAAAATAGAAATGTCATCGATCGTCATTTTACGTATAAACAGCTAATATCAAACAATTGTTTTACCAAACATTTTAATACAAATAACTAATCAAAGCAGCTAGTCAAACAAACTAATTGAATCAACTAACAACTATCAGCTAATTAAATCAATTAACAACTAAAAACTATCATTTAATTGTCAAACACGCTCGTAATAAATGACCAAATGAGTAAAAAAAAAAAAAACTAAATAATAGATTTGGAAGATACCGATTAACTGATTAGTGACTTACTGGTATCTCCTCACAATATATATATATATTATTTTATATCTATAAAAAATCTCATTCTAATTTCTTTATTTATTTTTTAGTTTCACATCATAATATATACAATTTTTTTAATCATAATCTTCTTATTAATTTTATAATTAATCAATAATAAATGATTATTATTATTTTTTGTAATATTTAATTTATTAAAAAAGTAATTAATACTTTTATTTTATTTAGGTCCAATTAATATATTTTATTTTTTAAAATTTTATAATTAATAAAACGTTTTCTTTAATGTTGTACTATTATTATTATTATAACTTTTATTTGTTAACTGATAGAATAAAATATAAAGAAAATAATTAAAATTTTCAAAATTAACACTACATTATAAATACAATAAAAACAATTAATATTGATATTATTTTTTAAAATTTAAATAAATAATATCCAATACTAATATCATGTCATAAAATATAAAATTTTATAAATTACTGTATAAAAATATTATTGAAACAAAAATATAATAATATATTTAATAAGAATTACATAAACAAATTATATATATATACAATATATACAATATATATATAATAAACATGTCATCTGCCTCAATTAAAATTAGACACATGAGATAAATAGATATCTCCAAGAAGATGATATCTTGAAGATAAAATCTCTTATCTTTTAAGTTTTCTTTTTAAATTTATAAGGTGACAATGATTTTTACTTTGGATATTCATGAGTTGCGGGTGTCTTTAGATCATAAACAATAACTCAAATTTAGACGGCTTTATCTCCTGACTCAAAAATTTTCATCACGTAATGGCTTTCATCTCTAGATTGAAAAAATCGACACTCTTGAAGAGAGCGGGTGCAGTCAAAGCGGCGTCAATGCTACTTTTGATCTCCTCTCTCTCTCTCTTGCCCATCTTCTCCACCACTCTCTACAGTGCCGATTCCTCGAAAGTGAAGTGTTCTTTCTCTAAGAAATCATCTCAAATAATCTAGGAAGATATGATGCAGAATATGAGCCTGTTCAAGGATGTCACCAGGAGAACGCCGAGACATTGTTGTTCGTCGGAGGAAGTCGCTGGCTGCCAACCACCACAGTCCCTCCTTCGTCGTCGATCTTAAAAGAGTAGAAGGTGTCCGATTTGGAAGAAGGAAGAGAGCCACTATGGTGAGATGAAATAAAAAAAATTGATTGATTTGAATTGGGAATGACTACATCATTGACACATGAGAATTTGTTTCAATAGAGGCATTAATTCAATGTGAACCATTGTATGTGCTCTTAGGATATCCAAAATGCACTGTTCTTCTACGAATAAGAACACATTTGATCTAATATGTTAATTTCACATCACATAAATGAATTAAAATAAATAAAATCATGACCTTTCTCATTTAAGAATACATTAGGAATTTAGGTAGTTTAAGAGAAGCAATCACAAGTATACTCGTTTAATCCACACGTATATACCAAGCTCCGTTAACTTTTGATATTTGGAGGGTTACGCTCAACATTTCTAAAAACACAAGGGTATACTAAATAGTTTCTAAAGTACCGGGGCCAGTGGCGGAACTAGGAATCTAAACAAGGGGGGCGCACTTCTTGCAAAAAATAAATATTAACACTAAAAGTTATAAATTCTAATATAAGCAATATTAAACATTGTTCAAATAAAATTATAAATTAGACGCTACAAATTATAAATTCTAGTAGAAGCAATATTAAACATCGTTCAAATAAAATTATACATCCGACAATTGAATTCTTCAACTTGCCATATTCTGAAAACGTTGCAAAATAGCTTCATTTCGATTTTTGCAAAAATTTCTTTTTCAATAAAGCTTTGTAAACTATCCGTGAGAAACTCATCCCCCATTTTGTTACGCAAATCATTCTTAATAATCTTCATCGCGGAGAAATATCTTTCAACAGTAGCGGTTGCAACCGGCAAAACCAATGCCAATTCAATGAGTCGATATACCAACTTCAGAGCAGTGTGCCAGTTTCTTTCAACCATTCTTATTGCAAGATCACCAATACTTTGAAGACCCGAAAAAAAAAAAACACACTCAGATTTTTTTACTATCGCAATATACTGTTTAAGTTCTTGGGTCAGCAAAACTTTATCAGAAAAATCATCTGGATATAATTCAGCAAGATGCAGTAACTTATCAAGATGAAAGCTAGCAAGCGAATCTCGAGGATCAAGGCATGCAATGCCACAGAAAAGTTCTGAACTTGACTCCGCAAAACGATTATCAATTTCTTGTCCAATGAGATCAACAACCTTCCATAATAAAAATAAATAAATAAATAAATTATTTATATAATAAATATATCATAAAGCACATGTAATAAATTTAAATATTATATATATTTACAAACAAATACCTGAAAGAATATATCCCGTCGAAAAAAGTGCAAATAAATCTTTGGTTGGCCATCGACTTTCCTTTCAAATCTAGCTCGACCAGGCAAAGGATTTTCCAAATTCGGTACAAAAAATATCCTTTTTAAAGAAAACTTTTTGATCGTTTCCAACAAATCATCCAATCATCTTCTCTATACAACCAAATCATCTTTCAATGTTGTAATCAAAGCCACGAGATTACCAATATTATGTGTTTTTTCTTGAAAGGCTGCAGACAATATACTTGTTTTTGCTAACAATTTCAACATGAAATGAGCAATGAAAACAAATTCGAAACTCATCATTTTACCAATTAGACCTGCTGGAGTTCCTCGAGTTTTTTGATCCGGGCCATCCTCCGAAAATAGTATCAAGAACATCTTTTATTGCATCTCACATATTTAAAATTCGGTCTAATGTCCTATAATGAGAACCCCAACGAGTATCACCTGGACGAGCCAAACTTGTTTCTTGATTTTTGCCTTTTCCTTTAACAATTTTACCACACTCAATGCGCCAAACAAGATCATCATGGTGTTTTTGTCGCATCGCATCCCTTCTTTTACATGAAGCTCCAACAAGATTCACAATACGGATTAAATGATCAAAAAAATCGCTTACTAATACCTGAT